TAATTCGTTTTTGCTCTAATATGTCGACTTTACTTTCCAAACTTTCTCTATCTGTGATTAAATCTATGCTTGTGAATATGGTTCCTATTTTTATGTATTTCCCATTTCTTGATAGTCTATTTTAATCAAGTTGGGTCTCACTTGCTATCTTTAGTACAGGAAATTATTTAAGTTCAGTTTTACATGCAATTGTCTTCCAACTGTGTAATTAGTACTTTTCTGTGTGTGAAATTGCAGTGCCACTTGTTTATTCTGTCCATGAAAATAGTAATAATAAAATCAAAAAGTTTCAAATTAATTCCTGTTTTAGTTTTATTTATTCTTAATTCTTTGATGATTTAAAAGACAAATTATTTCTTGACATTTCTAAGTAAAATTTTAGGTATAACGTAATCAATTTGAATCGTTAAAAAAGTGGATTAATTATTATAGCTGTTTATGTAATTCTAAATTTACCAATTCAATACATTAGGGTTGTAGCTTCTGTTAATTCTAAAACTTCATTGTTATTACATTTTGTTTGCGTTTTTGAAACTTAATTAAAAAAATAAGTTTCACAAAAACTGTTAATGAAACTTGAGTTATCATTAGCAGACTTTTCTTGTAGTAATATTAATTATCTTAACAGATTTAGAAATTCCTTAATAAAAAATTTATTATTAATTTTAAAAAATTTCATAATTTCAGATAAAAAGAAGTTTGTTAAAAAAAATCAATCTCTATAATAAGAAATGTGACAATAAATAGAGTAGAACTACGATTATCCGACACCCGGGGTATATTCGAAAATTGAAATTGTTGGATAATCAGGAGATCTTTTTTAAATCAATTTTGTGAGTATATTAAACATTGCACTACACTATGAGTGAAATTACTCAAGACAATGACTAAAAAAAAGTCTAATTGAAACCCTCATTTGTTTTTTACTTTTTTTAAAAACTGATACAATATCATGGGGGAAAAAATCATTGATAATTTTTTGTTCTCTTTTTTAACCCCTTCTCTGCCGGATTATTATTATTTATTTATTTTCGAATTTCTGACTCAAAAGAAAGCACTTTTATTGCTGAAAATTAATTTATGTTCTATCCTAAATTCGAAAATGCAAAATATTTTTGTCATCAGGCAGTTTTTTGCTTGACCTATTGATGTCCCATCAACTGATCTCCAGTTTTCCTGCAATTCACCCAAGTTTTATCTTAAAAAATACACTGTTATAACATATTTATTAACTCTATTGCTTTAAGTAGTTTAAGATAAATATCTGCTTAAAATAATGATTAAAATTTTGGAAAATAATTTTCCAACCTTACTGTTAAAACAGTTTTACAATTAGTCTTCGGCATCAGAGCGTGAAAATCATATTTATCACAAAACTATCATAACTATTTTGACTTGCAAAAGCAACACTAATGAAAGCAAAAATACAAAATGATTTTGATTTCAATTCAAGGCTGAAAATCTCACTGCGTAAATTGTGAAGAAAGTAGAACTAGTTGCGCCATCTCTTAGCAATAATCAGAAATACAAAAATAATTGTGGGATTTAAAGCAACGAATTAAATTTTAATGATTCAGTTTTTCTGTTCGTCGCATGACATGCGACGCCGAAACAGCAGGGGTTAATTGAGATATCACCGCAATATCCTGGTTGTTAATGGGTGATCGGTTGTGTAGACTATTTACTTTGAAATGGAATGTATCATAATTGGTTACCTGCTGAGTGATCATTGATAAAATTTCATTAGGTAAGTAAAATGACGCCATCTTAATCATCTCTATTTGCCGTCTTCTAGTAGTCAAATAATGAAATCGTCGTCGGAGGAGCAATCGTATCACCTCAATGATGAAACGTGTGTCGGGAAGCATTTAACGTTTTGTAAAAAGGTGTATGATCGGGCATCAAATAATCGGGGTTCTACTGCACTTATTTACTAATATTTAAAAATAACTAGGGGGGGTTCGAAATATAATATACATTTCTATCTCTTTAAATTGCTATTCTACGGATTTCCTTCTTGAATTTACTATACATAGCTAGCAGTCTGCCTCGAATGGTTTGTCCGCCTACTCGAGCTGTCTGTTTTGCGGTTCCTTACTTGTTCTCTGTTGGCTTCAGTAGCATTGGAATAGTATTTTCAGTGCATATCAGAGGATGTAGAAATCATCCATGGACTAGTTGCTTCATTTTGTATTTCGTCATCGTGTCACCACGTTTCTCTAAATCTGTGACACTGCGTAATTTCAGTGTTACGTGCAATTGTACGTGGGAATACTTCATGCAGCAGCCAGCTGGACAGCTTACGCGATTGAAAACTATCTGAAATTTTTTTTTTAAAAAAAGTAATATTAAATTTTATTTTTTTTTTTACATTTATTCTATGATTGCAAAATTTTATAAAACAATAAGAGCTTTCGAAACAGATGTTTAAAATCTCAAAAACGTTCTGACTTCAAATTATTTCGTACTCAGAACTTAATAATAATATATAGAAAGAACCACTCGAAAATAATATCAAAAGAAAATAAAAAGTGGGCACGTTTTAAGAATATCTCGAGCTAAAATTCCACCGGTAGCCTCCCAGATGGTAAAAGGAAAAGAGGAAGACTCATAAAACGCTTAAAAAAATAAAAAAGAAACAAGGAGAACGATAGGAACCAGACTGGGTGTTCAGAATCGATGGAAAACCTAGGTGAGGTCTTTGTGTGCCAGTAGGCACGAAGAGGTTAAGTAAGTAGGTAAGTAAAATATTACTGGAGTATTTTGAAATTATTGATTACTAACAAAAACCTTTGTTATAGATTTTCCAAAGAGTTCCGCCAGCCTCGCTTCGCTCACCAATTTCTGCGACTGCTTTTCAATCATTTTAAACTGATATCTGAACTGAATTCTAAAACAGATTGTTACATTAACATTAAAAATTATTTAATTAAAAGTATCCCAAAATTTTCTTTCTATAGAAATTTAGTTCTACGGCTTTACTTTGTGATTCTGTTGCCGCTATAGCTCGAAACCCGTTGCTTTGTACCATTATTTAACTAATCGGCAAATTAGTTGATTTGCTCCAACAAAGTGCGGAATTAAGAGTCTTCACATTTTACCTAGGTAATGTGCACATTACAGCTTTCATATCTTTAAAATTCAATAGTTTGTTTCCCTCATTTTCTTATAATATTCTCAATAATTTATTTATTATAATATTTTAAACCGTTTGATTTTATGTAATATAGTTATTTAAATGATTGGTGATTGATTTTATCAACTAATTTGTTGATTGTTTGCTTATATTAATTTGATTCGTTAGATATCGAAAAATAAATAACATTATATTAATTTAAGCTTACAGAAACATCGCGTTCTTTTTTTTTTTCATGGTATACGTTTGTATTTACGATTTTCAGGTTACTATTCTCTAAATACTATTTGCCTACGCTAATTCTGGGCGACAACCGTAAAAACGTCGTTTTGTCTTTAGCTACAGTTTTGCGACATTTTTCATGGATGTAAACGAGCTACATATAAATTTTTATGACATACCGTATTAAAATTTATAATGTTAACAGGATTACTTGATAAAATTACGAATTTTAACAAGAACCATTTTTAAAATAAATAAGCGAAATCGAAAATATATATATATCATAGCAAGTACAAATCTATGTATTAAAAAGAAAATCAAATGAGTGCAGCTTTATTAGTTTTCTGCTAATGACAGTATAACATATTTGTAGCTGTTTTGTTTTTTGAAAATATCACGTGAGTGTTCTACTCTAAGATAATCTACGAAACAGGCATCATTTCATTGGATTCTTATGTAAAGTTAGATTAACCCCTCTATGGATAAACTTAAATTATTAGTTTGAAAAGAAATAATCTTCTTAATTTCAGCTGTAAATCCTATATTGAACTGAAGTTAGATTTTAGGAACTCTAATTTAAGCCAACGAACGATTTTTAAAATCACAAGTTTTAATTTTTTCCGTTACCATGACGACCTTTTCTTCCTTTTTTAATGTATCACACCAGTGCATTTTTTTCTATTTTATTCAGTGTTTGTTTAATATTTTACGCAGAGTTATTTTTAAGATTGTTACAAATTAAAAGCCTAGCCAAAGAATATAGAAAGACCTAGCTATCATTTATAAATAGCATATAGCTGAAACGAATTGTGATTCTTGATTTTGATGAAACTACTATATGTTTCCAGTTACATATCCAAATCAAATAATACATGTTTTTTTTTTTTTTACTGAAATTTGCAAAAATGTAATGTTTTTTTTTTTTAAAAAAAAAATCGCTTTTATTTTCAGAAGTTATGATTCGAAAAAATTTCTTTAAAAAAAATAGTGCGTGGAGTCCCTCCGCGCGGAAGAAGTTAAACTTCGCAACCTGCGACGTTAATTGTAGAAGAATCAGCAGTCGTAGAAGGATCACTAGTTCTATTCAACGACTCTTTTTCCTGCTCCGCTCGCTTCCGTGCTCTGTAATCACGGTAATATTGTGCATTTTTCCCTCGTGGACCTCTTGAACCAGTGGAAGTGCTTGTGGTTGCCTCATCGTCTCGCCCTGGAAAATGTATTTGTATTAATAATGTATGTGAATGCGTCATAATGTAATTTCAAAAGAGAAAACCTAACAATCAATTGATATTCACAAGAGACGTACCTTGACATAACCTTAAATCCGTCGCATTGTCCATGGGATTGTTTTCACTCATTTTTTACAATTGTTATCCACTAAATTTGAAAATAAAAAATACTACCCTATTATGTGTATCAAAACAAACTCAAAAAATATTTATAGAAAAACAATACTTTTATTATTTTTATGCTAGTGAGAACCAAAACAATATGGAAATGAATGAGGGAAAACTGGATCCTACCACGTGATTTCCCGGCCAATAAAAATGTAGCGTTAAACGTTTAACGCAACCTTGTTGGAAGTCGCATAAGAAGTATAATTTCAAAAATATTTTCTTGAAAATTAAATGCTTTTATTTATATTTATTTGCTTATTATGAAGACGGATAAAATTTTCTATTGTTGTGTTGTGATGTATATTAATTAAACACTCTTTAGTTCAAAAGTTGCCTCAAGCACTAGTTTATTTTCGCTTGTGCTTGGAACATTTAAATTATTGCTCTAGTTCAGCCTTGGCATAAATAAGCAAATTCTTTTTTTTTTCCGCTTTCAAAATGTCCTTCTGGTAACTTGATTTGAACTCTGAAAATTTTAGTAACATGTTTGAGTTTATCTGGCGATTGTGGGAATGGCTGATAGGCCTTTTTTGGCAAACTGAAATGGAAGTTTCCGTAGTTGGTTTGCACAAAGCTGGCAAGACAACGTATGTGAACCTAATCTCCAAAATCGACTGCACTAATACCATTCCAACTGTGGGATTCAACATGAGAAAGATAAGGTGTGGTAATACCTCAATCAAAGTTTGGGATCTTGGTGGAGAGAGGAGATTTCGTGGAATGTGGGAAAGATACTGCCGTGGTGTGAATGCAATACTCTTCATGGTGGATGCAGCTGATGGCGAAAAAATTTTCGAAGCCAGGCATGAACTACACGAATTACTGCGAAAGCCTCAGCTGACTTGCGTTCCTATTTTGATCTTGGGCAACAAAACCGATTTGCCTCATGCTTTCAGTCAGGCTGAGCTTATAGACCATCTTAATTTAAAAAGCATCGAAAATCGAGAAGTTTCTTGTTTCATGGTATCTTGTAAATATCGTGAAAATATCGATATTACATTACAGTGGTTAATTGCCCATTCTAAGCGACCCAAATAGTTCTTATTTTTACTAGTGAGTGAACTAAGTTCGTTAAGTTTTAAATAAATATATGAATAAAGTAAAGCTTATGTGATTTGATTATTAATGAATTTGTGTTAAATTTTATAGTTCTAACACCAAGGCTTTGTAATTTCACCTCACTAAACTAGAATAAACGATTTAAACAACAAAAAAAATTTTACTTTGTTAAACATAACATTGTGGTGTTAGGGCGACTTTGGTGATTTGTTTCCCTTTAAATACCTGTTTTTAGTAGTAGTACTTTAAATGTCTTTACAATCCATAAATTATGCAATTATAATTATCAGAAATAGAGCCGTGATGGCTCAGGGGATTGAGCGTTCGCCTTCCAATGAGGTGAGCCGGGTTCAAATCCCAGCAATGGCCGATCGATACGAATTCCGCATCCGGCTTGCACCGACCACGGTGATGACATAAAAATATCCTCATTGGTAGACGTATTATGGGTTAGAGTCCCCTTGCCGTAAGGCTAACCTTGGGAGGTTTTCGTTGTTTTCCTCTCCGTGTAACGCAAATGCGAGTTAGTTCCTCGAAAAAGTGCATCACGAAGGCAAAATTTCTCCCAATACTTGATCCAGAAGTTCCCTTGTCTTCTGGATTGGTTTCAAAATTATAAGGCTATGGAGTTGAACATTAGAATATTACTTTGCATTGATTTTAAAATATGTAAAACCAAGAATGGTCGAGGAAAGTAACACACTTAGTGACAGTTTTTTAAACTTTTATGATTCTTAAATATTTTCTTTATTTTAGTTTTTAGCCCGTTAGTTAATTTTTTTTTTTTTGTCGAAAAGTATAAGTAATTAGTTCTGCCTGTTGCGATCAAGAAAAGATGAAATTTATATTGTCATTTCGCACTTAATGAAATTTGAAGACTCTAGCTAGTCGAAAAATGGTCGAAATTTCCATTGCGAGTTTTGCCCCTTAAAAACGAACACGGGAGGGATTTAAATATAACGTAGTAAAAAGGATGACAATTTTAATAGCATTCCTTAATTTCGTGTGTATGAAAATCATCAATATCATTGACGCGACAGCTTCGGATGGTCCTTCTCCAGAATATTTCTCCATGCTGCTCTTTGTCGCCAGATCTTGCCTCTTCAATACCATGGTTGCTTGGAAATCCACGTTCATGAGATCCAGCTGTTGAATAATTTTTGGACGTCCTCTAGCTCTACTACCAATTGGTTTATAACTGAAAATTTGATGTGTTTAGCTAGTTGTGGCAAATGTGCCTTTCAAATCTGTTCAATCGTATTCCCTAATTTCGTGTTCGCGTGTATAAAAATAATGGGATAAAATTGAATTAATCGCGATTGCTCAAAATCAAGGTATTAATAAGGTTTGGTAATTTTTCATGCGAATATGAATACAAATGTACGCAATTCTGCAAAAAGAAGTTTTAAAAATCTTTTTTGGAGAATTATCTATTACCCCAACAGAGCAAACAACTGTTTTTTAAAATGTTAGTTGACCAAAGAAATCGGAAACTTTCTACTTAAAAGCAGATAATTGATTTTAAACTCAATAATTTATTGAAACGCTAGCAAAAATTAGTCCAGCATTGGATTACCTTTCGGAGAAGGACAGTAAAAAATCACTTTTCTCAGTATCTGTATTAAAACTGCACCAGTTACCTTTATACCAGTAGTATCTGTTTCCAAAATTAATTAAGCAGCATTGGTGTTAAAAAAAGTATGACGATTTTCGACTTCTCTCCTAAATGAATTAGTATCTTTTCTTCATTAACTTAGCTTTTTAGTATGAAGCTTACTTTTTTTTATTTCAATTAGTACCTGTTACCATCTCCAAAACGAATAAATACAATTTCTACAGTTTTGTTTTTTAATACGTAGCTTAATTTTTATTTCAATTAGTACTTATAACCAATATTAATTAAGCATCATTGGCGTCAGAGTTAGCATTGTGAGTTTTTATTTTTCTCTGAAATGAATTAGTACCAACCTTATTTTATTGTTTCAATTAGAAAATTTTACCATCATCATTAGCGTCGTAATAAGAACAGTTATTTTTCGCGCTCCTCATAAATTAATTAATATTTCTCCATTAATTTTGCTTTTTCGTACATTAATTTTTTAGTACCTATTACCAAAATTAATCAAGCAACTACGTCAGTAATGGTATGGCAACTTACGTAATTAAATTAATCTTTGTTATTAATCCCTTGATTTTGCTTATCAGTGCACATGTTAATTTTTTTTATTTCAAAAACCATTGATTTTAAATTATTTACTTTTATAGAAACGCCTTTTTAAAGCATAACTGTAAACAAAATAAATGCGTGGTTTCGTATAAGTTTAGATATACTAATTTAATGACGCAGACCGCCTTTGTCACCTCTTTCATGGTTATCATTCAGTTTGAAGACTCTCCGTGTAGTAAATGGTGACTGATACACGTTAAATTTGTCGAGTCACAAAGTCCTCCATGTTCCCATAACAAATCAATACCTCTGGGGGTACTGATCCAGGAGTTCCCTTGTCTTCTGGAATGGTTCAAATTTAAAGGCTACGGAGTTGAACATTAGTAGCCGTAAACCCAAACATTGGGTCGGCTGTTCAATGACGGTTATAAAATTAAAAAAAATAAGGAATGCGCAATAAATGCCTTTTTTTTTAAATGAGAGCTATAAGCTAACGAACAACACTGATGTCAACTTTAAAATATTTGGAAAAAAAAACAGAATCGTCTGCAGTTTCGTTTATATCAATTGCTAGCTCTAAACCAACGAAAACATTCCATTTTTCAAACATCCTTCCCAAACGATATAATTGGATGCCTGAACGTGACATCATCGTAAGTGTTTCGTGGCATTTGTCGGTTCAGAAGCTAATCAAGGTCGACACATACGAGTAACGTCGCCTACAGGTATCCAATTAAATCTAATTTAAATTTCATTGTTAGGGATAATAACTTTACTTCTCTTATTTTATAACGGTCGTTGAACAACCGACCTAATTTTTTGGGTTTACGACTACTAATGTTCAACTACGTAGCCTTGTAATTTTGAACCCAATCTAGAAGACAAGGGAACTCCTGGATCAAGTATTCGAAGAAATTTGCCTTCGTGGAGGGCTTTTTTGATGGTGCTAACTCGCATTTGCGATACATGAAGAGGAAGACCACGAGAACCTCCCACGATTAGCCTGATAGCAAGGAGACTCTAACCCATGATCGCTGAGGATATTTCACGTCAGCACTGTGGTCGGTGTAATCCGGATGCCGAATTCGGTTCACCTCGAGAATAAAATTGCCACTTGTCATCCACTGTTCAAATTTTAGGACGCTAACATGAACAGTTGAGTTATAAGAGAGTGATACATTTATTCATTTTATTATCATAGGTAATTTACTACTGATGAAGGGAAATATCGATACTACTTATATTTNCTGGCTTGCACCGACCACAGTGCTGACGTGAAATATCCACAGTGCTAGACGGATCATGGGTTAGAGTCCCCTTGCCGTCAGACTCACCTTAGGTGATTTTCTTGGACTTCCCCTCCGTGTAACGGAAATGTGGGTTAGTTCCATCAAAAAGTCGTCCACGAAGGCAAATTTTCCCCCCAATACTTGATTAAGGAGTTCTCTTGTCTACTAAATTGGGTTCAAAATTACAAGGCTACGGAGTTGAACATTAGTAGTCGTAAACCCAAACATTGGGTCGGCGGTTCAACGACGGTTATAAAATTAAAATAATAAGGAATGCGCAATAAATGTCTTTTACAGGTATCCAATTAAATCTGATTTAAATCACATTGTTAGGGATAATAGCTTCACTTCTCTTATTTTATAACGGTCTTTGAACAACCGACCCGATTTTTTGAGTTTACGACTACTAATGTTCAACTACGTATCCTTGTAATTTTGAACCCAATCTGGAAGACAAGGGAGCTCCTGGATGAAGTATTGGGAGGAATTTGCCTTCGCGGAGGGCTTTATAGATGGAACTAACCCGCATTTGCGCCACATGGAGAGGAAGACCACGAAAACCTTCCACGGTTAGCCTGATAGCAAGGGGACTCTAACCCATGATCGCTGAGGATATTTCAAGTCAGCTCTGTGGTCTGTGTAAGCCGGATGCGGAATTCGGTTCACCTCGAGAATAAAATTGCCACTTGTCATCCACTGTTCAAATTTTAGGACGCTAACATGAACAGTTGAGTTATAAGAGAGTGATACATTTATTCATTTTATTATCATAGGTAATTTACTACTGATGAAAGGAAATATCGATACTACAGATATTTTCAGTTGTCATCAGCATGAAATTATTAAAAAGTTAATCTTTTCAATCCTGTTTATAACGATTAGAAGATTAATATTATGAAAGTTAAAGCTTAAAGAGGTATGTCTACTTTTCTATCATTTTGCAAAATATTAAATCGATTTTATTTATAACAAATTTTACATTTAACCCTGTGGCCAGTCGTAACGTGGATTTTGAATGCTATAAAATAAGTATATTGAAGTTCATAAGGATTCAGTTTTATCAATGGTTTTAAATAATTATATTGGTGATAAAACATATAATAAACAAAAGGCAATTAATGTAACAGGCAGTTGCTTGGATGAAGTTACTGAGACTATATTTTTTTACTATGACCATTTTTTGATAAATGGAGTTTTTAAACCATAAGTAAATTAACCAAAATTATGGTAAAATTACTGATTTCGTTCGAAACCCTCTAGTATATGTAAAAAAAAAAAAGTAGCAGTTTTCAGAAGTGTCTGATTTTTAATCGGTTTCGAAAACGAACAGTCGTCATAATACTGAAAATGTTAAATGACTCGCGTTGTTATCAAGGACTGAAAAAAAATTTTTATTAATGGAAGTATGGGATAAACGGTAAACTTTAAGTAAGCAACAGATTCGCATTGATTATAGCAAAGTAGAATGTAAATGAAAAAGGGAAAAAAAAAAGAATAAATGAGGGAGTGATGATAAATTGTGTCAACAAAATTATCTAACTAATATGAAAATAAGAGTAGGTAAAGTCAAGTGTTTTGGAAGCGAATAGTACTTGGGTGAAATATTCGAATCAAATTCACTTATGTGAAATTCGAAATAAAAAACAAAAATCTTAAATATTGTAAAATCACAATTGCGAAAAAATTATTTTTTAAACATAAATTAATTTCAAATTTTTTAAGTAATAAAGAAAATCGTAAGCCTTGTCAAACAATGTTGTAAATGTGGCAAAAATTAACGTAAGATGTAATTTATTTTAACTTTTTCTAAAAAAAAAAAGCAAAGTTGAGAAAAAGAAATACTGTATACAATATAGGGTTATAATGTATGGGATAGTGATGGGGGGAATAACTTAAAAATATAATGGAATGTCAAATTGAGAAAAATAAACGGTTTTTTTTTCATCTTTATTATAAGGCTTTAAAAGAAGCTCGTGAAATTTGTATTGTGCATGGAGAGGTTGCCATAGCTTAAAAAAAACTGATTATAATTTGCAGGCTGTGTTTAAAAAATGGAAATTTTGACCTAAAGACGCATACACCTCGTTTTAGCCTTCCATAAGTTCCATCATATTTTGCAGTGGCCCCCATCCCCCCCAAGCTCTTGGGCTCATTCATCCCCCCCCCAAAAAAAAATTTGCTAACTTCCCCCTTCCATGTTAGCTTTTTTTATTTATGTACTTAAAAAAAAACAAATTCTCTCGTCTAAATTCCCCTCCCCCAAACTATCCGTTTTATTTAGTGTAAAAATCCCCCCCAAGCTTTAAGTGGGCGCATCGTGCGCCCACCTTCCCCCCTGATGGGGCCCTTGATAATCTGCACAAAAATTCCAGTCAAAAGACAAGGGAGCTGGCAAGTAAAATAAAATGCTCTTACACTTGAACCTTACAAAAAAAAATTAAATAAAAAGCGGGAACTTAGTTTTAGTTTCCAACTTAAGTAAATCCAATTAGTCCTCGGATGCCAACCCAAACAGTGGTCGGCAAACTCAGTTCCAAAATCTCGTTTGCCCGCGTTTAATTCAAAAAGAAGCTGCTGTCCATTTGAAAAAATACCACATGCGAATCAAGAGCCAGTTTGCCGACCATTGGTCTAAAAGTATAAATTTTTAATGAAAAAAATTATTACCAAGAGATAAATTTTAATATAACAGGATGGAATTCTCGATATTAACAACTTGGGATGATAAGCCAATCGATCATGAAGCGACTATTATAAAATTGCATTCTGAAGATGATGTTGTGATTATGGAAATAAAAGCTCCATTTTATGATGATCCACCACCAAATCCCAGGGGGACTGATAAATCCTTTAACAAATTGTGGGATTATGAAGGTAAACTATGTCTTTATTGCACTTAATATTTCCGGAGTTCAATGCTATAATTTTTTATCAATATACTTTTGTGTATTTCAAACATGACTATCGATTTGAAAAATCAATTAAGGAAAAACGAAAGGAACCAAATGCTACGTTCTGCTTAGGAAACTAGTATTTATCCTCAAAGCTTTTATAATTAGTTACAGTAGTGTTGCCAAGTGAAAGTCCTAAAAGTAAGTTTTAAAATAATCACTGTTTTTAACATAAAGCACACTCTGAAGGTCAGAATTAACAAACTGTTTGTCAATAATGAGACATATCGACGGAGAGTAAGCTTACCACTAACCTGAACCACTTAACGATCTCTATAGATTACAGTATTGCTGATACAGAGTAACTTGAACTGTTAGGCTTAACTCTTAACACCCCGAGGTTAGGCTTAACTCTTAGTTCGAACGATCTAACCCTTAACGATCGGTTAATTTTCAAGAAAACGGTAATAAAAGTGCCTATTTTTTGGCTTTTGTATTTGTATTACGTATGTGATTAGTGCTGACATCTAGTTTAAAATAAACTGACTATCTACAATTACCATAAAAATATCCTGGTGCTGCCATCTGGTGTGTAAAATGAGACATAATTTTTTTCCGGGCAAACGAAATGAATTAGTTTTCTTCTTATTGGCGCGTTACTACTGAACACTCCATCCCGTCAATATCACGGGAGGGAGAAATAGAGGGCGAAACTTCACCTCGTCATTTTCACGGTCTATTGGCGATCGAAATGGGCTGCAGGTGGCGTAGAGCAGAACTCTTTTCCTATGGCAACACTTCACATGCTTTCCCCATTAGCGTGTGGAAAATCATAGAGGAAAGAAGTACGTTAGGTTCTCTCTTGATTTTCATATAGATTGAAATCTTTTAACTTGAAAAACTATATGGAACTGAAAACTACATTAAACATAGTTCTAAAGAAAATTATATGGAAATTTTAAAAAATATTCTTATTAAATAAAAAGGAAAAATATTAAGAAAAGGGAAAATACCGTAGTACATTCCTATACAACTGAAAAGAGGAGGAGAGGGAAGGGAGAAGGGCTAAAGGCATGAAACCGGTCTCTCCCCAGATGGCGTATTCGAGTGTTGCGATCGCGAATGGTCGTGATCGCGCTCATAAAAAATATTTTAAAAATGCCGAATCGTTTTCATTTACTATAAAAACAATAACCGGTTTTTAGGTAATTCTTATTAAATTTCTGTATAATTTTACTACTGTTAAAAAACATTAAGATTCGCTCTTATTTATTGTTAGAAGTAAATTTTGTTCAATAGTTCTAGAATTCTCGGCAACCTACGCTTCTCTTCACCGGTTCTCAACCACAATGGGCTTAAAGCATTGAATCTGTTATTCAGATACCTAGTAGAGATCAATTCAAGCTTTTTCAGTGTTTACCTCATAACAGATATAGTTTGTCTAATGTAAGAACTCCCCTAGCTACTCGTCTGGGCCCGTGGTGGTGATCATGGTAACGAGGTAAAACTATTTCACATAGGGGTGTGAGATCACTGTTTAGGACAGGTTTTGGCTCGGGTCGGCGAGCTAAAGGGAATATTTTTCTTCGGTCTATTGTGTTAGTTCTAGAGTGAAGAGAAGCTACTCTCCCTGAAATACGCTATTCTTGTTTCCAAAGCAGCAGAGACGATCTCAGACTTAGTGTCGAGGGGAGTTCTTACCGTAGACAAACTATATACGCCAAGCAAATATTTACAATTGTGAATGCTCTGACATGCAGTTTAAAATATTGTTTTTTAGTCAGTAGCACCATCTGTTGACACTGATTTCCAAACTTTTGATGAAAAGAGGTTTCTGATTTCTTAAGCAGAACTCAGCTAACCATACATTTTTGTCTCTTTCTGATTGATTTTTCAAATTGTAAGGGCATATTTAGGATACGCAGTAATTTAAAATGCATGTTTTTCTTTTTGTATAGTCGTTGAAGCATTTTTTCTTGGAAAAGCTGAAAAATACCTTGAGCTAGAGTTTTCTCCGTAAGTTATTAAACTTCGACTAATATAGTATTAACTAGGGATATATATAGTCTTAATTTATTGATGCAATGTATAATAAGTATATTCTGATTTACTTATATCCATAAATTGTGATTCCTTACAGGCATGGATTTTATTTTGTATTGCTGCTCGCAGGGAGAAAAAATGCAATTAAAGTAAGATAGGCTCATATTCATTCAAATTTCATTTATTGGCTAGTTTCATTCAGCATTGTTGTAAAAAACTATTTGATCTTCTTAAACCCAGAGTCCAATATAGTTTATTTTTCTCTTAAAAGATAATATTGTCTTTACAGATAATATTATCTTAAAAGATAATATTGTAAAAAAGATAATATATGTCTTTACAAAGCGATTGTCTACGTAAAAATATCAATGGATTTACTAATTTTTCCAAAATAGAGGCAAAAATGACTAATTTTGCAGTCAATTGTGCAAAAAATTAACGACATTTTCAATAAATCAATTCGCGCTTTTCTTTTTCTCGCACAGTTTTAACTTAACCATATTTTTATTGGCGTAATTTCCTCTAATCTTTTAATCACATAGCTGTCATATTTAATTTGGAAAACTGATCCATGCCGCAATCGAGCTTAAAAAGATCGCTATTTTATTATTTTTAATTCGTAGCTATTTTTTTTTTTAAGTTTATAGTAATATTTATTTAAATGACATATTATTCATGCAGGGCCAGATATATTTTATCTCTACAGTGTAATTGAAAATGAGCTCTACTATTCTGTTATATTATCCCCATGTGAAGCAATATATGTGGGAAGAAATCAAATAGATAATTATTGATCAAAAATTTCTGTAATTCTTGAGGAGAAATAATTATTCAGAAAAGAAAATTAAAAAATATTATGAAATGCTCATTAGTTTTAGAATATGCCAATTTTTTATTTATTTAACGCATTACAGTTTATAACTCTTAATTTTATCTTCTTAAGTTTATAACTCTTTGTTTGAATCCAGTAGATTCTACTTTATTACCACTAAAAATATTCAACAATATACAAAAAAAAAAAATCGTAATAATTAAAAAAGTCAAAAAATTTTGAATCGAATTAATTAATTTTGTTGATTAATTTTAAAGCTCTAGTTTCAGGAGGTTAAATTAAAATTGTTAGAAGGTGAATACTAGTTAAACTGTTTGGTTATAAGTTAACTCTTATTTACGATTAAGATTTAATCTTTCCTGTAACTATATTGTCTTGTACTACATTGTTCACTCAAGATCCCTTAAAATGCCGAAAAAATTCACTAAATTCTACAGAAAGAATTATCTAAGCTTAGTAAGGATTATAGTAAGGATATAAGTAAGGATTATATGTTAAATTTAGAAATACATCATAAAAATTCTGCCCCCAGCTAACTTCGCTTACCAACCCCCATGATTGTTTTACTATCATTTTTGTTTTGTATCATAAATTGATACATATTACTTTAAAAGATCCAAAAAATATTTTTATTGTTTATTAACAAAAATTAGGCTTAACTGATTTTGAAACCTTTTTTTCTTTTGCTTTTAAACCATTACGATTTCATCCACAAACTTGATTTTTAAATTCGTTATAAATTATTGGCAGATATAAAAATTTGTTAAATGTTTTTCTACTACAGAAATAATTTAGCAATTGTGCAAAAATTTAATTTATAATTTTTTACCATTTTGTATTCATTACTAGACGGCTCATCGCCAATCCCCGTAATTGATTCTCATTCATCATTGTTTTATCCCCCTCCCCTTTAAACGTTAATATTTTCCACATTTTGTTTTCAAAATAATACAATTATTGTAACTTTTTGTAAGAACATTTTGTTAATATGTTAATCGTAACGAAATAGACGGTTTACTAGATTCGAAAAATAATCTAAATAGTACGGATTGTGTGATTCAAATAGAAAACGACTTTTATCCCTCTTTATGAATTTTTTTATTTTTATAATCAATGTTAAGATTTATATCTGGCAACAACAATCTCTCTTTCTTTCTTTTTTTGCTACATTTGATTGAGATCTATTGGAGCACGCCTATAAAATTAAAGATCTCGTCAGGAAAATATAAATTCTCAACAATATATATTAAATAGTTAATATTCACAATAAAAAAACAGAAAAAATTACGAAAAAGCACTAAAATTTGCAATAACATTCGAACGAATGACCTAAAAATCACACATTTTGAAACACAATTCGCGTTAAGCTCACAAATAAAAATGGATCTTTCAGGTTTAACTAAGTGGTTGCATTACAGCGGACTACAGATCGACCAAAACATTATTTTTTCCTACAAGTTTAACAGTTGATAATTCTCTAACTAATAATCGAATCTATAAGTTTTTTTTCCATCGAATTTCTTACACATTTTTTTACGCATCATCGCAAATTTGAACTTTTTAAATCTTATAGTTTTGGCTTTGTAAAACAAAATGCATCTTTAAAAAAAAAGTGCGAAAAAAATTCGTGAAAAAGGCCTTGCAGAGCGGCTCGTACGGTATTTTTTACGTCCAGTTTAACAGTTACTAATTCTCGAATTAACTATGGAATATTAATATTTTTTATTCTATCGTTCTTCGTACATTATTCTACAATTCTTCGTAATTTCAAAGTCATAGTCACTTCGCAACGAAGCAAAATGAAACATCAAGTTGAACATCCAAACAGCGGCGCCGGCCCTTACTATTACGATTAAAAACGGTGTAAAGTGTTTTGATTATTAAATTTAAGGTAATTCAAAAAGTGTATCGATTTGACTTTATTTTGAGTGAATCGCTCAATCGTTAATAAAGAAGTTGAAACTTATTTCTAGTAATCAACTTTCAACTCCTCTGTTTCTTCTCTCAATTAATCCAGTATTGTTGTTTATTACACTCCCCTTCCTATACTATGATTTATCAGATTGCGATGGCTTGTTGGTTAAATATTAATTTGCGACCCCAAATGCGTATAATTATATGCTCTCGTTTTTTATTGGGATTACAAAAATACTTATTAAGGGAGGTGTTTATGGAACAACTTGCATAAGAATATATAACCCTGTATCAGCCAATTAGTTAGGCATTAATGTTTTTAAGTGTTGGTAATTCAGCTTATTTTTTAGAAAAACTCCTCCTACTTGTTTTTTTGTAAACTCTTTTTCAACAACTGTACAAGCTGGCAGCTTACAGTTGTTGCAATTATGCTAACTGAGATACAAGTAATCTGCTACACAAGCAATTATGCTAAATGAGTGTACAACTGCTTTTGCAATCCTGACATGTCAAGTTTTTCCTATTCAAATTGTANTTTAGTTTTGATTCAATTTAATTGTTCATCTTATAGTTTCAAATTAGTTTCGTTAAGTTTGGCAAATGTACTGAAAATACGTTCGCTGCAGCTTGTTTTAAGTTAGCCAGAAAACCTCGCTATCTTCCTATCATTGCCGGAGCACGGTCAGTTGCTACAAAAATGATATTAGTCAAGGGTAGAGCTTTTAATTCAGTCAATGGCGTTAACAAATAACAATTCTTGGTAAAATTTTTATTCCTTTGCAAATCTTACATAAGCTAAAAGTAAAAGCTTCGTTTCCTGCATAAGTGAACTAATCAAGCTGTATACAAAATTCAGATATTTTTAAGTACTCACATAAAGAATTTTCTACGCACTGAGATATTTTGTCAATCCTTCTTCGTACATTATTATTACTCCGTGGAATTCTTTTTACAATGATAATAGATGCTTTGTGCAACCCGGTGAATATTTTCTCACTTACAGCTAGTAAAATAAGTTCTTCAATAGTGTGAGACTAATCATGTAATAATAATAAATTCAATAGTGTGGGACTAATCATGTAATACATAGAAACATGCGAAACTATGAGAAACATGCAATCCAGCTTCACCACGTTTAGATGTTGTCCCTAGTTGTTGCAGCGACGATGTTTTCTGATATTTTTCTTTGACTGTTTGAAAAATAGTTAAATCTTTATCTTTTTTGTCACTATGGATTTTTTATCAACTGTCCGTTAAGCTTGGAATGTTTCATTGCATCACTTGTTATAGTTCTATTACATAGAAGACACATAGGTCAAGTACTATTTCCTGGTGAGGAAATAAACAATATTCAACACTGTATTTTCGGCGTTTTTTCTTCGACTCATTCATACTGTTATCTCTTAAAAAGGGAACAAAAGATATAAGAAAATTTGTAAATCAACTGTTTAATTTGTAACAAACCACTGTTAATAATTATACGCACCCACCTTTATTTATAGTTTACTTAGGACGTAAAAATCGCTACTATTTTATTTATCTTCATTTCCATAATAATAAAAACTAATCACAATTTTATTATTTTATATTAAACCTCACGCGGACCCCCTGACGTTGTTCATGGACCCCTAAATCAGTTTTCATTTTTCACGGACCCCCTGACGGACCCTTGAGGGTCCATATGAACCACTTTGGGAAACACTGGTCTAAAAGTATAAATTTTTTATAAAAGAAAATTATTACCAAAAGGTAAATTTTAATACAACAGGATGGAATTCTCGATATTAACAACCTGGGATGATAAACCAATCGATCATGAAGCGACTATAATTAAATTGCATTCTGAAGATGATGTTGTGATTATGGAAATAAAAGCTCCATTTTATGATGATCCACCACCAAATCCCAGGGGGACTGATAAATCCTTTAACAAATTGTGGGATTATGAAGGTAAACCATAAGTCTTTATTGCACTTAATATTTCCGGAGTTCAATGCTATAATTTTTTATCAATGTATATATTTTTGCGTTTTCCAAACATGACTAGTGATTTGAAAAATCAATTAAAGAAAAACGAAAGAAACCAAATGCTACGTTCTGCTTAGGAAACTAGTGTTTATCTTCAAAGTTTTAACTATTAGTTACAGTAGTGTTGCCAACCAGTGAAAGTCTTAAAAGAAAGTTTTAAAAAAACCACTGTTTTTATCATAAAGCACAGTCTGGAGGGCAGAATTAAAAAACTGTCTGTCAATCATGAGACATGTCGACAGAGGCACTGGTAAGCTTACCACTGACCTGAACCATTTAAAGATCTTTATAGATTACAGGATTGCTGATACGGAATAACTTGTAACTGTAGAAGAAAAGTCCGCCGGATGCGCGCTAACTCCCGCGTAGGTTATGCTTAGCTCGTACTTTTAACATTAAGGTCTATGGTAGTGATTGCGTTCATAAAAAATTATTTTAAAAATACCGAAACGTTTTCATTACAGAAACAATAACCGGTTTTAAGCTAATTTTCATTAAATTTCTGTATAATTTTGCTACTGTTAAAAGAAATTAAGATTCGCTCTTATTTATTGTTCGATTTAAATTTTAGCTACTCTTCTTTAATCGTTTTCGTTAAAAGGACGCTATCGCGGGGGAAACTTTTCATCACAAAATAGTGTTTCACCTCCATAACTAATTAAAGTAAAGAAAAAGTGAGTTTAGACAGACCTAGAGTTAGCCACGAAGTTTCAGTTGCTGAAAAAAAGAATTCAATATATCAAAATGCAAACAAATTATTGGAAGAGAACTTCCCCGTTGCATAATCCTCAGTTATCCGCTCATAATCTATTTTTATTTAAAACTTCTTGGCCTACTCTAGGTTTGAATGAACTTACTTTTTCTATGCTTTAAATTAGTTATGGAGGTAAAGGCCCGGTGGCTGAGTGGTAGCTCTTCGCGCTCCTGTGCCACCGGTCATGGGCTCGATCCTCGGGCCGGGCAAGGTTTACTCAGCCTTTCATCCCTTCAGAGGGTTGATAAATGAGTACCAAGCATGCTTGGGAACTAAACACTGGAGGTTCTGCTTTCGGCTGACCACCTGACCGGAGCATCTGCTCCTACACCCCAGAGTCCAAGGTCAAGAAAACAGAGATGGGCACAGTAGGCCTTGGCCCTCTATGGGCTGTCGTGCCATTGAGTTTAGAGTTTATGGAGGTAAAGCGGAATTTGGGTGTAAAGTTTCTCCCGTGGAATTGCGTCCTCATAAGAATAAAAGGGATAAACAGTCGTTCAAAACAGCGATAGTTCTTGAATTCTGGGCAGCCTACGCTTCTTTTCGTCTGTTCTTCTCCAAAATGGGCTTAACATTGAATCTGCTATTTAGAGATACCTAGTAGAGATTAATGCAAGCTTTCCTAGTGTTTACCTCGTAAGACATATATGCCAAGCAAATATTTACAGTTGTGAATGCTGTGACATGTAGTTGAAAATATTGCTTTATAATAGCACCATCTGTTGAGAATGATTTCTAAACTTTTGGTAAAAAAGAAGTTTGTGATTTCTTAAGCAGAACTCAGCTAACCATACATTTTTGTCCTTTTCTAAATGATTTTTCAAATTAAGGGCATATTTAGAATACGCAGTAATTTAAAATGTTTGTATTTCTTTTTGTATAGTCGTTGAAGCATTTTTTCTTGGAAAGGCTGAAAAATACCTTGAAGTAGAGTTTTCTCCGTAAGTCATTAAAATTCGACTAATATAGTATTAACTAGGGATATATGTAGTGCTATCTGTTTAAATAATAGTATGTAAATATATATATGTGTGTGCGTTATATAAAAAGCTAATCTTTGTATGTTATTTCTTTATCTAAATTCTTCTTCTTAATTTATTATTCAAAAATGGAAGCTTTCTCACACTTAATTATTCACATCCAGTCTTTTAATCTATTTTTAGTTCAAGTATGGTTTAGTAAAATTCGTTTTAAAAGATCTCAATGCATCTTAATTTATTGATACAATGTATAATAAGAATATTCTGGTTTTCTTATATCCATAAATTATGATTCCTTACAGGCATGGATTTTATTTTATTTTGCTGCTCGCAGGGAGAAAAAATGCAATTAAAGTAAGATAGGCTCATATTCATTCAAATTTCATTTCATAGCTAGTTTCATTTAGTATTGTTGTAAAAAACTATTTAATCTTCTTAAACCCAATGCCCGATATAGTTTTTTTTAATCTCTTAAAAGATAATGTTCTGCTTATATGTCTTTACAAAGCGATTGTCTACGTAAAAATATTAATGGATTTACCCTTGGTGTTAGTTTATAATTACAATAAAAAAATTATAAGAAAAGTTACAAATGCAGTATATGCAATATTTTAGATAGTTTTCTTATGTATCTTATTACAGGGCTGCCAATGGCTAGTTTGCTATTAAAAAGGTGACTAGAATTGCTCTGTAGAATAGACCGCAGAGACTAATTTTGCCAAAATATAAGCAAAAACGACCATTTTGTAGTCAGTTGCGCAAAAATCAGCGATATTCTCAATTAATTCTTTTTAACTTAGCCGTATTTTTACTGGCCTAATTTCCACTAATCTTTTAATCACATAGCTGTCATATTTAATTTGGAAAACTGATCCATGCCGCAATCGAGCTTAAAAAGATCGCTATTTTATTATTTTTAATTCGTAGCTATTTTTTTTTTTAAGTTTATAGTAATATTTATTTAAATGACATATTATTCATGCAGGGCCAGATATATTTTATCTCTACAGTGTAATTGAAAATGAGCTCTACTATTCTGTTATATTATCCCCATGTGAAGCAATATATGTGGGAAGAAATCAAATAGATAATTATTGATCAAAAATTTCTGTAATTCTTGAGGAGAAATAATTATTCAGAAAAGAAAATTAAAAAATATTATGAAATGCTCATTAGTTTTAGAATATGCCAATTTTTTATTTATTTAACGCATTACAGTTTATAACTCTTAATTTTATCTTCTTAAGTTTATAACTCTTTATTTGAATCCAGTAGATTCTACTTTATTACCACTAAAAATATTCAACAATATACAACAAAAAAAAATCGTAATAATTAAATAAGTCAAAAAGTTATGAATCGAATTAATTAATTTTGTTGATTAATTTTAATGAATTAAATTTTCAAACGAAAAAAAAAATTACATTTACGAGTTAACTTTCTTAGCTACATGTTTCTATTTCTGAGTAAAAGTCGCATTTTCCTCCATTATTTAAAGCTCTAGTTTCAGGAGGTTAAATTAAAACTGTTAGAAGGTGAATACTAGTTAAACTGTTTGGTTATAAGTTAACTCTTATTTACGATTAAGATATAATCTTTCCTGTAACTATATTGTCTCAGTTTTTTTTTCACTTAAGATCCTTTAAAATGCCGAAGAAATTTACTACATTCTACAGAAAGAATTATCCAAGCTTAGTATGTTAAATTTAGAAATATATTACTACTATGTGATTCTGCCCCCAGCTAACTTGGCTTACCAACCCCCATGATTGCTCTACAATTATTTTTGTTTTGTATCATAAATTGATACATATTACATTATAAGATCCAAAAAATATTTTTATTGTTTATTAATATGAATTAGGCTTAACTGATTAAGTTTACCAATCTATAGGGATAAAATTGAAAGCTTTTTCTACTTTTTAACCATTGCGATTTCATCCACAAACTTCTTTTTTAAATTCGTTATAAATTATTGGCAGCTATAAAAATTTGTTAAATGTTTTTTTACTACAGAAATAATTTAGCAATTGTGCAAAAATTTAATTTCTAATTTTTAACCATTTTGTATTCATTACCAGACGGCTCTACTCGCCAATCCCCATATTTGAATCTCATTCATCATTGTTTTTATCCCCCCCTTTAAACGTCAATATTTTCCACATTTTGTTTTCAAAATAATACAATTATTGTAACTTTTTGTAAGACCATTTGGTTAATATGTTAATCGTAACGAAATAGACGGTTTACTAGATTTGAAAAATAATCATCTCTACTTTGAAAAAAAAATAGTAATCCAAATAGTACTGATTGTGTGATTCAAATAGAAAACGATTTTCATCCCTCTTTATGAATTTTTTTATTTTTAAAATCCATGTTAAGATTTATATCTGGCAACAACAATCTTTTTATCTCTTTCTTTTTTTGCTACATTTGATTGAGATCTATTGGAGCACGCCTATAAAATTAAAGATCTCGTCAGGAAAATATGAATTCTCAACAATAGATATTAAATAGTCAATATTTACAACAAAAAAGCTCTAACTTTTAACTACGTTGTTGCATTTCAGTGGACTACAGACCAACCAAAACATTATTTTTTTCCTCAAGTTTAACAGTTGATAATGCTCTAATTAATAATCGAATCTTAGTTTTTTCTTCCATCGAATTTCTTATACATTTGTTTACACATCTTCGCAATTTGAACTTTTTAAATCTTATAGTTATGGCTTTGCAAAACAAAATGTAACTTAAAAAGAAAGAAAAAAATTTGTGAAAAAGACACTTGCAGAGCTGCTTGTACGGTATTTTTTATGTCTAGTTCAACAGTTACTAATTCTCGAATTAACTATCGAATATTAATATTTTTTATTCTATCGTATTCCTCGTACATTATTCTACAATTCTTCGTAATTTCAAATTTCCAAGTCATAGTTATTTCGCAACGAAGCAAAATGAAACATTAAGTTGAACATCTATAACAGCGGCGCCGGCCCTTACTATTACGATTAAAAACGGTGCAAAGTGTTTTGATTATTAAATTTAAGGTAATTCAAAAAGTGTAGTTAATCGATTGGACTTTATTTTGAGTGAATGGCTCAATCGTTAAATGGTCAATAAAGAGGTTGAAACTTATTTCTAATAATCAACTTTCAACTCCTCTCTGTTTCATCTCTTAATTAATCCAGTATTGTTTAATACACTCTCCTTTTTGTACTATGATGTATCAGATTGCGATGGCTCGTTGGTTAAATATTAATTTGCGACCCCAAATGCGTATAATTATATGCTCTCGTTTTTCTATAAGGATTACAAAAATACTTATTAAGGGAGGAGTTTACGGAACAACTTGTATAAGAATATATAACCCTGTATCAGCCAATTAGTTAGGCATTAATAAGTGTTGGTAATTCAGCTTATTTTTTAGAAAAATTCTTCCTACTTGCTATTTTGTAAAGTCTTTTCCAACAACTGTACAAGCTGGCAGCTTACAGTTGTTGCAATTATGCTAAATGAGATACAAGCAATCTGCAACACAAGCAATTATGCTAAATGAGTGTACAACTGCTTTTGCAATCCTGACGTGTCAAGTTTTTCACATTCAAATTGTATTCACTATTTCAGGTTGGTTTGCCTATAGTTTATACTGCAAATATTGAAGGAAATAGTTGGACAGGCATAGCAAGAATACCAAAATCATATTTCCCTCCAAATGTCAAACTTTTCAATGCATACGCTATTCATGGTACTGGTAAGAATAGAACGTATGAGGCATTAAACCCCGTGCCAACTGGGCAGTTTCAAACTCCAGATTTGTATGTATACATATTTCATTTAGATATAATATAGTTCCTAAATAATTTTGTTAAAAAATAATCTTCACATCATGTTATTAAGTTTTAAAAAGATAATTTTCTTAAAACCAAGGAAAAAAGGTACAGTGAGCCAAACAATACATCTTGAGACTAGCCCTGGCTGACAGAATCATAAAAAATGGTACCTACTTTTAGGTTAGAGACACGCAAAAAGCGATTATTCAAATGGGCGGTATATCATTGATTGCGTGTATAATAACGTATTGAAATTTTATAAAAACTGTGTAGAAATCCCTTGTAATAACTCTTGAAAAAGTGATCAACAAGATTATTGGAATTTAGGAACGCATGGTTACGAATCGAATCCATCCAAAAGTTGAGTAGTTAAAAGAGCAATTTGTAATATCAGTGCTGTAACATAAAGGTTTTAAAAAGTATGGGAATTTTACAAATCACAAAGAAATCAGTAATTATAAATATCGAAAAGCGATGGAATCGTCGAGTCTATCAAAAAGTGATTACTCAATGGAGAGATTCAAATATTCGCGTGTCGTGTTATGAAAATAAAAATATAAGGATTTTAAAACTCGTGGAAATTCGTAGGATAAATTACCAGAAAAATGCTCGAAAATGAACTTGGATTTACGATGGAATCTGCTCAAATCGAGCGTATTTTAATCTCTTATATTAGGTCTGTAACATAGTCGCCACTTTTAGCGAATAGGGTTTGATATTTTGGTAGCCATGTACTATATAATGCTAACTAGTTTGCCACTGACAACTGCTAAACTAGAGCTCTAGAAAACGAAGAGATATTACTTTAGTTAAAATGACTTTTTGTAGATTAGCATTTAGTTTTAAACATTACATTAGAAAAGAATCTATACAGCATGTTTTAGGTTAAAAAATATTTCTTTTTTATTATAACCCATATAAAAATTTACGATGAGTCCCCCCCCCCAAAAAAAAAAGATATTACATGGAATAACTTTAGTTATGATGATTAGATTTTCATATTCTTAGTATTTCATGGATTCCATTACCAAAAGGATAATCTTATTCGAAAATAATTTTTGTTAATTATTTAATTTAATAACAGTAGATAAACTTTTGAACTCTAAGGTGTTTTTTAGCTATTCAATTTAAACTGAAAAAATTTGAACAAAATCAGCCCAACAGTTGAGTTATGAAGTTTTTAATGAAGTTTCATTATGAAATTTGCATTTCTCAAGAACTATGTAATTGATTTTATTAAGAAATACTTAACGATTTAAAATTTTCCTAACAACTATTAAACAAAATAACGATTAAAAATTACTTTTTCATACGCCTTTTTTTTTTTGTGGATAAACGAGCTTTATAATTGCAAGAAAAAGAATTTGGTTCGTTTAAGTTTGTCAAGATATGGAAAAATATGCAAAAGACATTATTAATTCACATTAAGGAAATTTAACTTGCGACTACTCTCCTATTAATTTGAGAAAATACTTAAAAGATTGCAGCCATCTCCCATTTATTTAAAATCAAGAATTTGAGCCTGGCAAGAAAACTAAGTTTGAAACTTGTCAGCACAAATTAATTAGCATATACACCTTGAACTATTGAGATCGGGCATTTGATACATGAAAATCCCATTAATTAGGAAAAGTTATTGAGGGTATTTTTTTTCCGCCTACAATATAATATGCAAGTTTAGCGTTCCGCTATTATGTCATTAATTTCATCATTTTTTTACAGTCATAGATTGGAATACTTCCGTTACATTCAGTTTGAAACAATTTTGGACTTTGGAGATAGGCTTTCGGATGTATGGAAAGCAGCTCTTGAGGAAAAAGGTATTTAAGTAGCAATAGGATGGGAATTTTGTTTAGTTGGCAATGTCTTTGAAGAATGTGAGAGAAGAAAAAACAATTCATTTTGAATATTATTGATAAAGTTCAAATTAAAAAAAGCTTTCAGCCTTATTCTAGGCTTATGTTTTTAAGGCTAAATTACAAGTTTTTAAAAAAATTTCTTTTTTTTTTTTTAATTTTCAAAGGAAAGAAAAATTTAGAAAAGAAATGGTTTTAATATCAATTTAACCCTCAACTTAATATTTTAATGATTCACCAGACAATGACTTTTATAAGCAGAGGCGTATATAACACTTCAGCATAGTTCAAAAAAATAAATAACTCTGGTTTATAATTAAATTTTTTTTTAATTCACTTTATAAATAATTCCTCTAAATTGAACACTGAATACGACTTTGGAAAGATGGTGTGCTATTTTTTTTGTACTACACATTAAGATAAATTTCATTTCAATGTGATAAGTGAATGCAAGGTTTCAATTGAGAACCTTTTCTAAATTTAACCTTTTCATGGCAATCACAATTTTTGCTATCTTAAATTACAATTCAATTAATGATCATAAATACCTGAATATACCTTTACCAAAAGTCTGAGATAGGGCCTGAGAATTTTGGGTAGGGATGCATCTAAGTACAGTAGACAAAAAAAAAGAAAAAAGGATCACCCTAAATAATATTTGACCTAATGATCACATCTTTACATTCCAGGTCTCAATCTTAATGGTTCAAAGGGTTAACCTCAAATATGCTAATTAATTAGTGCAGACGATATTTTAAATTACAATATCAGAAACAAAAATGTTCTTTCTTCGAATAATTTTTTGGGGAACTTCTAATGTAAATTTTACTTTCTGCGCATTTCGCCATTTCTCGAGAACTTTTTAAGAAAAATTTTTTTACGCAATTATTGAATTTGGATTCGTTTATCCTAAGATAATTCCATGCAAAAAATAACTTATAGTAAATATTTATTATTTTATTTAATAATAGCTGAGAAAATTGAATTGTAAGGTATAAAATTTTTTACATCATTTTAAAGAATGTAATTTTGTATGGCAAAATAAAAAAAATTGAGAGAAATCTGTCGAATAGAAAAAAATTTAAAATTTTAATTCTCTGTTCCAGAGAAATCAAATTTTAAAATTACGACTTTTTAAAATTTCATTTCTCAGGAACAATTTGATCAATTTCTTTTGAGTTTTGCCATGCAAAATTACATTTGTTAAAATTTCAAAAATTGTATATCTTAGAATTAAAAAATTTTTCTACTATTGAATAAAACAATAAATATTTACTAAAAGTAATTATTTATTTTTTTTGCATGGAATTATCTTTAGATAAACAAAATTTATAATTACGTGCAAAAATTTTTCCCTTTCACTTAAAAAGTTCTCAAGATATGCTGAAATACGCAAAAAGTAAAATTAGCATTAAGGACTCAAACCTCTTGATCGCTCTCCTGACTTAACTTGTAACACATTTGAGTTTAACCCTTTGAATCATTAAGATTGAGTCCAAGAAAATGGAGAAAAGTTAATCTGGACTGTTTTTTTTGTTCTTTGTGCACTGTACATACATGTTACATACAATACATACATTATATAGCCATAAAACTGGAAAAGTGCATACACAGGAGAAAAAGAGATCATATTTTGCAGGATGTCATTTTAAATTAGCATAAAATGGAACGGTGTCATGGCTTGAATTTTCTTGTAAGGCAGTGTTATTTTTATAGTATAGCAGAGATGGTTTATTAGTTATTTTAACATTATACTCATTTTTTAACTGTTGTACTTGTTTTGGTTCGAATGCATTAAATTAAGAGAAATACACACATTTTGTAATGATTAAGACAAAATAAGCAGTGAATATAAATTTCACTTTATTACAACATTTCTTCCTTGGCCAGGATTTCTTTCAAACTCTGCAAAAAAATAATAAACAAATAAAACACATATACAAAATCGGTATATAAAATAATAAAGACCTAACATTTAAGCACTTCCTAGAAAGATTTAATAGAAGGAAAAGCTTTTTATCAGAAAATATCTAATAAAAAAATATATTATGTAGTTTGAACTAAAAATAGGAATTAATGTTTCATAATGTTGGCGAGTTTTTAAATATGGACAAAGCTTGAAATGCTTGTTCATGAAAATAGACATGTCTCAAAATGTGCCTAGGAAAATGGACACAGCTACTAAGGAAAATTTATATAGCATTTGAATCTGTTTTCCAAATTTCTCTTATGAGTATTGTTTTTTTTTAAAAGAATAAACTAATGAATTCAAATAAATTCTAAATGTATCTATTTGCATAAATCTTTTTTTAAAAAAAGGCGACAGTCAAATCGACCCTGAAGTCTAATTATGCTTGGTGATTAAATAAATAACGAAAAGCAAGCATATACAAAAGTCAAAATGTGTCGAGTGCTCAAAAATAGGTGCCTATTTTGAAGACTTGCCAAAACGCGAACAAGGAAAAACAAAAGAAATTTGAAACAGAAAATATAAAGTTGCAAATGCAAAATAATAAAGATGAAAAACTGATTTAGAAAACTCGCAGCAGCCAAGGGTAAAATTGAAAGCGTTAAGTAGCAAACGAAAAATGGAAAATAAATAAAGTTAAAAGCCAAAATTAGAAAAACAAGAGAGACAAATCCGGGCAGTATAAATTTTCACAAGCTAAAGAGAGGTGGTTGAAAACTCACATCGTTAACAAAGGAATTAGCATTAATATGGAGGAAATGAGATCTCAGGATATCAAGATGAGCTGTAACAGGGTTTGAAACAATTTGTCATTAAAAGAATTGTTTTTCACTAATTTCATTTTGTCTTTTGTTTTAAATCTATTGTTTTTCTCACTTATGCCTGGCAAGTTTTGAGAATGAGCATCGATTTTTTAGCTCTCAAAATATGTCTACTTTTTCTGAAGTAAATGAAATTTTATATGTTATAATCACACATTTTATAATACTACTACTAATAATAATAACCTTTTAACAACTTGAACTACATCTTCATCATTTAAAACATGATCTTTTCCAACTTTCTGAGGATTATACTTTACAGATGAACCCCAAACTAAAGCACTGTAAAATAAATAAAAATTGTTATAGTTTTTTAAAAAATGACACATTTAAACATAAGATTTTTGAACTTATTTTACAGAAGAGCACTAATAGCTACCATTTGTAACAATAAAATACTAATTCAGTATTAAAAAAATATCAAATGTATTTCACATTCTACAATGAATTAAAATATATTTGAGCAAAAGATAATTTATTATAAATAATCTAATTATGTAACGTAATGCAAATTTGATTAAAACTTTAACAATGCTGTAAAATTTATGAGAAAAATAGAAAATTTGGAAAAACATTAAAGATATTCATGATAAAATTTCTACACAAAATTGGATAAGTAGATAACATCAACCCTTTGCTTATGGTGTACCATTACATGTGGCCCACATGTTGCACCAACCCTAAGCAAAAGGTTAACAAGCAAATCAAAAATCATGAACATAAAATTTCAAAAATTAATGATTTTGAAACTGAGCTTCATATGCTAAAAATTTGTTTTTTGATTTATTAAGGATGCACCAAAACAATTTTGAAAAACAATGAATATTCAAATTTCAACACAAATTTGAGAAACTTTGTAAAAAAGACTATATTTTTTAAAGAAAATATAAAAACTGCAAAATGTCTTTAGTAATGACAAAACAAAGATAATGCTTTATTTTTAAATTTAAGTGGATAGGACAGAAAAAATTTAAATTCTATGAAAGGAGAGTTTATTAAATAATTTAAATAATGAAAAAATTGTCTTCCTCTTCATTAAAAATAACAGTTATTTAAGTACTATCAATATACACACCTAAACCAATTTTTTTCTGTGTTTCATCATTCCATTGCAAGTAATCACTACATTTTTAAAACATTAGTAGAATACTGGTCCAGTAAATATAGTTTCTAACTATATAAATTCAAAAAAATTTTTCTTTTGTTTAAAAATTATTTACTCTAATATCTAATTGTACAAATTACTTTTTGACTATAAATTTGTAATACGCACAAAAGGTTTTCTAATTAAATTTGAAATATAGAAATAGGGTTGTCTTTTTATATTTCAAATTAACATTTCTTGTAGCATTGGTTTTACAATTGAACAATTTTGCTCTGGACATGTAACAAGCAAGGGAGATTTTCTATTTTCTCTCCACAAGAAAAAATTCCTACTTGTTGATGAATTAAAAAAAAAAAAATGTTTTAAAAGCAGAAAAAAATGAACAATATCAAGAGGAAAACTGCATATCAGCAAATCCCTGACTACAAAGAGAAAGCGTCATGCAAATAATTTATACCCACTATTTAAATTCTTTCATAATTGTGCGATGAAGCTTATTACAGAAGGCTTCAACAGTACATCTATCATGTGTTAGAATGACAGGCGATTCATAATCAGGTAACTGTCCTTTAGGTTTAGTGTATCTAGAAAATAAATATAGCTTTAAGCAAGAGGGAAACAAAAAATAATAAGATAAAAAATATGTTAATATCAATTTTACAATTCTAACAGAAATACACAATAATCGAAAGAAATACAGAAGGTATTAAGATAGGCAATAAAACCTAAAAATGAAGTTTCTTAAACATGTAACAATAAATCTTGTTTTGGGATAAAAAAGTCAATGACACATAAATATAATTAACAACATATATATTAACACAAACATAAATCAATTGTTTTCTGTTGCTCATACATACACCGCAGCTTAACAATCTTAGAAATATTGTGCTTCGAAATTGTATGTATAGATATATATATGCTATTTGGATCTTCTTGAACTTAAAACTATGATAAACTTATAGTTAAAGAACAAAAAAAGAATCGGAAAGGATTAAGGTTAGGAAAAGTTAAATTAAAAAAGTAAATTTGCAGGACAAAAAATAATTCTTCAACCGAGAACAAAAAATGGAGAAATTGTTAAGTTTCCCACTTTGTTAACTGCCCACTCTTATAGATTTTAATTTTTATTGGTTAACTTTAGATCAAAAGAAGAATATAAGAACAAAGAAGAATATAATATAAGAAACTTAACCTTTCACACGTCTGTGGATGTTAAGCTTTTTATAGTTATAATAAGTGACAATAATAATAATAAAAAAATTGATAATAACTTTAATAATTCATTATAGAATCCCTTAACAAGACAAACAAAAATTTTATGATTTGGCTGAACTGATATTAGTTTTGATGTACAATTAAAAATATTAAAAAAAAAAAGGATGAAGTAATTGTTTGGCATTTAGTTAGGTATTTTTTTTTCTAACAGAACCTTAATAGTTGATAAAAATAATAGATGTATTAAACATATTATGGTAGCTTTTATTTTAATAAGAAATCAATAAACGAACACATTTGTAAATAGTTAGTAATCGAGGTGTTTTTACTTAAATACAATTAACATTCCGGCAAGTGTATAAAAAATATTATATGTTTATAATTTTATGTTTCCAGATTGCAACAAAAGTAAAATTTGACTGATATCCAATTTATTACAGAAAGGAAAATTATTTCACTCACAAATTAAGATTAATGCTCAACAGCCATAAATGTGTTCATTATTTTCTTTTGAGAATTTTTATTATTTCTCCCCCTTTTTCTGATTTGTCAATTCCTATTAATATAAAAATCAACAAATTACATTTGAATAAATTAAGTCTTTTTTCTTCACACCACAAAGCAATCAGCCCTGAAGAGATTATTTAATATTAAAATCAGATTTAATTAACAGGCTGTTAAAATTTACAGGATCACTCACTATTGGAAAATCGTCTTACATTCTAATTAGCTTTAGGTATTCCCAAGTTTTCTCCAATAGGTCATCAAAATTCCATTTATGATGAGCTGATAATGGAACTGTATGGGGTATTTGATAAATTATGTCCAATTCCTATATGAAAGAAAAAGAATAAAAGATCAAAATGATTAAAATTTTAAATGTAAATATACTAAAAAACCACTAGTAAAACAATAATGGATTGTAATTCAAATTCAACAATTATTTCACAATTTATTTCAGATGTCTATTGATATTACACTAAGGGTTTCCACTCAATTTTAGAAGCAAAATTTCCTCACTTTCCCATGCTTTCCAGGATAACTTCAAAAAATTTTTAGATTATATTTTGACTAGGCACTGCAATATTTCATTAGAAATATTTTTTTTAATAAAATACACAATTAAACTTTTTAATAGAAAATTTATTAAATGATACATATTGTAAAATATTAAATTTCATGAAATGAAGCTTTGATAAGTAGATTTCATAATACATAAATTATTGATAGAAGCAATGATTTGCATGAAAACCAAAAAAGTTTTAATAAAGCATAGTTTATTCGAGTTAGATTTGTCATATAGTTACAGGGTTCCCACTCTATGAGATTGAAATTCCAGGACTTTTCAAGGACCTCAACAAAATTTTCAAGGACCTTAATCTAAGACCAATTTTAAAAATTATTCTCTTCTATTTTACTAGAAGCAACAATGCTTGTTGTGGCAATAATTAATTTCAAATATAATACCTAAATGCTTTGCCTATATAGAGAGAAGAGAGTATATGTATTATGGACTAAAATTTATATTTTTTTAAAAACAACCCTACTGGTTTTACATATTAATTCACAAAATCATTTTCAGCACAATCTATAACTAATGGTAATGAGGTGTTAATGGTGAAATCCTTTAATCCTGTGTATTTCCATGTGAAGGCTGCATGAAAGACAGAGNTAAAAAAAAGAATATACAGTCAGTTAACCAGTCAAGATATCTCACAGGAATTTTTTTAAAAGCATTTTTTTTTAATAAAGAGGGCATTTTTAATTTTAAAAAAAGTGTCATTAATCCTGCCTATTTAATTAATGTTTAATCCCGCACCTTATGCAATGAAATTTAAATTAATCAATTAAAAGAATAAAGTAATTAGTTCAATAAGTTAAAAACTTGATAATTGAGGACTGTAAATAAAGTAATGGCAAATTGCTCCTGGAATATATATATATTTTTTAATGAACATACAAGCAAAACTACTTTATACTTCTTCAGTGTATTTAATGACTAGCAAAGTTTTGCACCTTTCTCATGATATTAGCACACAATTTGCACAATTTGCTATTGGCGATGGCCGGGGAAACATCCTTGAGAATGATTCCAAGACATGCCATTGCAATTTTGCTTTGGTAGCTGGACGAATTGCGTGCGAAGTTGAACACTTTCCACAATAATATCTCTTTGAAAGGTTTAAATATTTTACATGTTTAGAAATAAATGGAAATATGTGATAAAGTTATTAAATAAGAAAATATGCGGTTGCATGTTATATATGAGTTTAAACTAAAATCTATTTTGTTAAAATGTTAGTATTTTTGTGTTGTATGAAATGTTTTTTTTTTTCAGCATAAAACATTTTTAATTTGTTGCATAAACTTTAGAAAAAGAAATGGACAAAATATCAAGAATTTTTAAATGGAAATTAAAAAATTATGAAAACAAGAACAAATAAAAACTAAATGAATAACATATTTTGAACGAAATAAAAATGAAAAAGTATAGTTTTACCATGGTTTGAAGATTAATTCCACCTTTGTCTTTTTTTCTTAAAACCATTTGAGGCAGCTCTTTATTTAGCCTGATACCAAAACCTTCTAATTCATGTTCAATAAGTTTTTTGTGAAGTAATGGTTTCAAGACATCCAATACGATAAAGATTAAACTGCAAGTACGTGCCACTGAAATAAATAGAACAAAACTATTAGTTGAAAGAATAATAAACAATATTAAAGACTGAAAAACAGAAATAATAATAGCCAGGATACAAATAAAGAGCATTAATTTGAAGCACAAAAATAACAATCACTACTTTTAAATATTTTAGAAATTCTGAGGGGGAAAAAAGCAAACATAATTCAAAAAAGATTTATAAACAAATTTTTTAAGACATCCTATACATCAGGTGTTCTGAAAATGACCAAGGAATTTAAAAATCAATAAAAGAAAAACAGAAAGAGATAAAAAGACACATTTTGCTAATTTCTACTTAAATAAACCAGAGTCCAGATTAAAGTTTGTCAACAGATGTCACTGCTAATTAAGAAAAACTATTAAAATTTTTTTTAAAATAACCATAATTTGCAGCAACCATAAGATATAATAAGATGGTAGAGGATAAGAGGATAAAATTAACAGACCTTGGTACAAAAATTTTAATTATTATGATGATTTGATATGCGAAAAAAAAAAATAACATAGCTAGCAACACTTTTGTAGAAATTTACAACTAGATTTGAAATTTTGTAACAGTAAATCATCTGATTTCTCAACAGAACGTAGAAAACTGTGCATTTTTTTTTCTTTTCTTAAATCGTCTTTTCAAACCATTAGTAATTTTAGGAGTAGGCAATATGATTTTACTTTTTAAACTTAAATTCCCAAATTAACTTTAAAATGGAATTTTACTCTTCAAAAAGGTTCTCACCAGTTATACAGCCTACTTTATTACTAAGAAAAATGCATACTCTTAGCTCATACTCTCATACTAAACTACAAATTCTTTAGTTTCTTAAGAATAACCAACATGCAATTTATTATTCCCCACATTGGATTATACAGTATTGGTAGGATAGCCAGCTTGTAGTCAGAAGCCAGATTTGTTTTATTTTTCCAACAGCTACGCCAATGTATTTATGTGCTATTTTACTACACCTAGTGGCTGAACTTAAAACCCCCCAAAAAATATGAATCAACAAGAACTGATAAGGAAGAGAGAAAATTTATCCATTTCTCTTCTTTCAATGGAACAAGGAATAAAGAGTCAACGCTGATAGCAAAATTTGGTTGAATGTGCTGGCTGGCTGACAGAAGCATCAGCGACAACTAACCTGGCCATATACTAGTCTTTATTCAGTAAATCTAGAGAGCATTGATTCAAGAAATCACAGAATAAGATAATTCATAAACTTTCTCCCTGGTTATAGAAGTAATATCTGTCACGTAAGAAAGATATGGAATATCAAAAAGTATTAGCGATGATGAGTTTATTTATACTTCAAAAGTATTTATGGTAAACTGGCACTCATAAATATTAAAAATAAAACATAATTTTCAATATTTTCATTATGTCAATGTGTATACGTTCCCTTGAAACTTATTTGATAGATAACACTGTTTAATTTGAAAACCACTATAACAGAATAAGCTTAGACCGTCCTATTTCTCGCATTGTTTGAGCAGCAATCCTAACTGGAGTTGCCACTGGCAATTAATTTAGTGATCGGTCAAAAAGGCTATCCTCAAATTGCACTGATATAAAATAACATATGCATGGAGGTTATCAAAGCTTACTCAGTAAATAACAGCCTAATCAGTGACACATAAGCAATGCAATCTATTAAAAACTAGATTTATTAATAAGTAAGAAATCAAATATTATGAACTTAAAAATATAACGAATTATGACATTTCAGTTAGAATAAAACAGATGTTTAAAATTAAATATCCTTAAACATATAATTAGATAATTATTGCTTATGTGCAATAAGTAACAATAATTGGTTAAAAACTTTCAAACAGTTTCCACAGATTAAGAAAATTTCTGTCAGTAAATCTCACATATCTTCTCCAAAATCTACAACAACTATAAAGATCTTACCAGCTATTACTTGTCTTCCTCTACCTTTACCATCTTTTGCACCTTCAATAATTCCGGGGAGATCCAAAAGTTGCATCTTTGCCCCTTTATACTTAATGACACCAGGCACCGTAGTCAATGTTGTAAACTCATAAGCTGCAACTTCAGAAAAGACACCAGCTAAGGTATTCATAAGCGTTGATTTGCCAACAGAAGGAAATCCTACAAATAGAAACATTAGTTAGCTTGATCTAAGGTTTTGCCATTTTTATTTGAATTCTATTAAACATAAATATATTACCAAGTAGAAAAGTCTTAAAAATGATAAAGAACCGCAGAAAGAGCTATCATCTAATAACATAAAGTCACAATAAAGTAGTTGCATACTAAGTGTGTCAAAACACTCAAATTCATATCATGTAATAACAGAGTAGCAAGAAAATCCACATTAAAAAAACAAACAATAAAATAATATAAAAGTGTTAAATTTTTAACACTTATTTCGAAAAGAAAAAAAAAAGCTTTAAGCCCAAAATAGGGACTAATGTGTTGGATGTTATGATGCAAAATTAAGTCTTTTTAAGGCACACTTGAACTTTTTTGAATACTCTATATAAATCCCGCAATAAAAATATGTAATAAAGTTCCACTTACCAACAAATCCTATTCTAGCGTCACCAGTTTTAGCAACATCGAAACCTTCCCCTGGACCTCCTCCGCCACCTTTTGGAGTCATCAATTCTCTTTTTAATTTAGCAAGACGAGCTTTTAATAATCCCAAATGACCCATGGTTGCTTTATTACGCTGAGTTCTGGCCATCTAGTAAAGTTAGAAATAGGATTGATTGAATTAATATATTTTTCATTTAAATAGTTTACGAGTAAAAGTAAAAATATTGATTGTCAACATTATAAATAATACAAAATTATCTGTAATTATATTGCACATTAAATTTGAATTTTCCTAATACAAGAACGCAAACATACTTGTAGAAGACTTACTATTATTTTAAATAAATGATGAAACTTTTCATAAATGATAATTTTAACGCATGAAAGGTAAAAATTTATAAAGAAATTCTAAAAAATCTTTTTGCAAACATTAACAGACGGGGAAAAAAAAATGTATTGGTGGAATTGAGAGAACTATTGTTACTCCATGTTCTGTTACCCCCCCCCCCTCCTAAGGAAAAGTTCGAAACCTGTGATAAGAATGTGCAAGAAGAAAAAAATTCACATCAATCATCACATTATTCTAACTTATCATCGTTTGTCTAACAAATAAAGTAGGGCATTAAAAAAAAGATTCCTTTCATAAATCTTAAAAATAAGCATAACGGGCATTAAAATTGTGACTAAATTAAGTAACTTTGAGATGAAAACTATCAAAATTTTAAATAACTTCAATCAACAGACATTTATATGTTTCGTTTATATGACACGCTAAAATTCCATAACCTTTTAACATTGCAAAATGATTACTTCAAAACTTAGTGTCCGAAAATATTAAACCTATTACTAAATTAATGAAGTATAGAACTGTAATATAATCTCCTTATCTTAAGTCTCAAAGGTAATGCAAATTTTTCTAATTCATCATGGCTTAACACATTTAATGAAACTTAACGTTTACAGACACAAAATAATTAAAAACACAAACCTCAGCCTCAATCGCCGTGATTTTATCGACCACTGAAGCCATTATTAAAGGAAACTGTCAAATTTCGCTTGATGAATTTAAAAAGTTAAAAGTTTACAACACATCAACAACAATCAAAAGGCATGTAATTTCAACCAGCGAGTAAGCCAGCAACTGAATAACAATTGGTTTTGAACTGCCTATTTTTGTATGATCAGGGTTCCTCTTGAACATTACACTATCAATTAAAATGATAGATGGCGCTTCACCTAAAGTTGTGCATTCAACAGGGGAATGAGGTGTTTTTAAGATGTGTTCTCATCATTTCAAATATAATAATTATTTTATAAAATAAGTTTGACGCTGATAAAAAAAAAGACTTTTTTGTGAAAAGTGTAGTTAAAATGTTTTGATAATGTAAATTTTTCATTGTTAAGATCTTATTATGTAATTTATGATAATCTGAACTAAGAAATTCTCAAAATTATTGAATATTATAGCTTTAAATGATCTTTATGTTTTACTGAGTTAAGTTCTTTATTGTAATTTCCCATGTTATTTTTATTCTTTGAAAATCGTTAAAGAAGCTAATATAGCTTTTTATTTTCTGTCCTGTGATTAAGAATTCTTAAAAGAGAGAAAAGCTTTTTTTCAGCTGAAGTCGAAAATTTCGCTTTTATCTAGATTTTTTTAAAAATATTTTAATTAATATATTTCCTGGTGGCACCCCAGGAAAAAATATCTCTAGAAACACTTCTGTTATTAATTTTCCTTGCACAGAATGATAATGATGCCATAGACTTATTTTTTCTCTTTCAGAATTTTGTTCAATTACAGAGACATTTTCTAATTAAAAAAAAAAAAACAAAAGTTGCATCATCTGAAATAAGTGTAAGACTAATTTTTTTTTACTGGACATTAGCTTAAAAGCATGTAAAGTATTTATGATACACATTTTCATACCACTGGTTGAATAACGAGAATTTTTTTTTTTTAAATTTAGTTACGCAGCATAATTACCCTTTCGTAACTTATTTTTGTACGAAGTATGTCTACATCTTTTCAAAAATTAAAACACTTAAAACAAAAACCACATGACTGGTAGTGGAAGATTTATTTCATGCCTAAGCCTAAGATTATTATTATTATTTTTTTGTTTTCAGTATTTATTGCCAATGCTTTAATTTACATCTTGATGAAATTCAAAATGCTTAAATAATTTTAATTTTTCTCCATTAATGAAGACAAATAATCATAATAATTCTATATATGTATATCTTTTTTAAAAGTTATAATTTTGAGATTTCATGATTGATTTAACTTATTTTAAACCAGACACTCTTGCTTGTCATCCTTCAAACTTTAAGTTTTATAGTTGTGTTTTTCTAACACTTTTGTGTTTGCCTTCATGTATGTGTTTTCTATTTATCATAATATATAAACTCAATTGTGTAGTCCCTGACTTGGACAAAGAGATCTGGTTTATTTCTGGTTTTTATTCTGTATTTTATTGCATTGTATTGTATTGAATTAATAAATGTGTTTGTGTTTCATTCATAACCAATAATAATAATCAAGAATTGAATAACTCTTTTGCTTCTAAGAATTCGCACACACTATTCTGAAATGTCAATTTATTATTAATTAATTCAGAATTGTTCACTAAACAAAGATAAATAAATTTAGAATAATAACAGTGACAAGAACTGCTGAAAAATGTTTTTCTTTAAAGTACCACAAAAACATTTAATGATAGAAAAAACAATAGTTTTGAGTTAATACAATATTTTATTTTTCAGGACAAGACACATTAAAATGAAACTACATGACAAATGTGCAACACAAATAAATAAGCTATACAAATTTATAACTGAAAATAATGAGCGTATAAAATATATAAATTCTGCCATTAAAAATAAAAAAGAAAGATTTAGTCGTTAACAGGCAAACAGTTGATTAGCCTTGAATGAACAAGAGTTTGAAATTTTAATCTAAAAATAACTATCAAGCTTCAATGGATGTTTTGAAGGATGAACAAATCTCAGAATATTGTTTAAACAATTGGTTTTAAGAAATCAGAATGCTACATACATTCAAAACCACTTCGTTTAAAAAGACGAAAAAATATCAAATTAATTAAAAATTATAATTCATCAAACAGGAATTATATGATTTTAGAAATTATGAATCAGATTAAAATAGAACCCTAACAAATAAGTAACTCAAATGATAATAACATTCATAAATCAATAAAAACAATTTAAGTTTTAAATATAACAAACATGATTTATTTTTTTATTTAAAAAAACTTATTTAATTTTATTTAAGAAAATCTCTTAGAAAATTTGAGGAAACTTAATACAACATAGAAGTCACTGTTTTGTTAAAAGATGAGATATTTCTGCAGTTTGTTTCATGTGAAGAGAAAATAACTATAACTACATATATATATAATAACAAGAAAATGACTATCACAAGAAATAAACTACAGTGAACTCTCTCTATAACAATAATAATTTGTGGGCTTGGTGAATTTGCATATCAATTAATGTTACCTTCTCCTAAATATTGCAATATTCTCTAAGGCAGTGTTTCCCAAAGTGTGGTACGCGTACCTCCTGGGGTACGGGAACAGTTTAGAGAGGGTATGCGTTCTTATGTGAAATATCTTGCAACCAACGAAAATTTCAAAAATTTTTATTTAAAAGCAAAGCTAGCCGTGAAACTTTACGATTACGTATTTTTCTATTGGCTATCTTTTGCAGAGTTAACAGTTAACAATTAGTGGTGTCAACAGCCAGTTGTGATTTCTAACTTTTGTGCAAGTTTTAAAAAGTAAAAAATACATTCATTTTTTTATTAGTGGTACACAGCGTTACGAAAAATTTAGAAAGGGTACACAAAAGTCATAAGTTTGGGAAACACTGCTCTAAGACAATAAACCCCTGTAAAACAATTCTTAAAAAAAAAAAATTAAATACTATTTTTTCTTTTTATTATGATCTTTTCGTTTTTGAACACTGAAAAAATTCTTATTTATCATCTTTCACCATTTCTCCCATCTTTTCTAACTCTCTGTTGATTTTGTACAAATATCTTTTCTATTATATAAGAAAGGCTATTTTTCAGATTTCAATATAACCCCGTCCTTTAAGAATGGAGACTACCCAGACCACTTACTTTCTAGAAATTGCTTTCCTTATCCACTAGAAGCAGTGCTGGATTGCCCATTAGGTCAGACTAGGCTATGGCCTGAGGCCCCCAATGATTAGGGGTGAATGAATACTCCTTAAAATTCTTATGATTATTTTTTATGATTATTATGATTATTTTTTAGTCCTAATTTAACAAAATAAAGTAAAATTTAACTTATTATTATTTATGTTAATTTTAAGTATGCTTTCTTAAATGAAAAGATATATAAATACTTTTATATTTGAATAAATACAAAATATACGAGAAAAAAAATTTAATCTAATGGCCCCAAAAATTTTAATAGCCTAGGGCTCCGCGCACACTTAATCCGGCACTGACTAGAAGTCACAACAGTAACATTTCTATCTGAATTCAAACTTTTCATGCTAAAAAATGATTAAGAGTCAGGAATGACCATGCACAAAACAATACTAAAACAAGCAATTTCTGGCGTTAGGGTAGAAAGTTGGATGATTCAATGAAAACTTTTTATCTTTTTTAAGACTTCAGTGTGTTTGATTGTTGCAACAAGGGGGGGGGTTGCTACACTACTTTTGTCCCGGTGTAAAATGATAAATTTAAATTAAACATGAATTCACATTTCTTTCCTCAAAGTAGGTAATTAAAAGTTTTTTTTTCTAAAAAAAGATTAATTAGATTAAAATGAAAATATCATTCCAAATACTTAAATGAAATGAAAAATACATATCTTAAAAATCATAAAGTCAGCAATAATAATAAATTTTACATAATTACATTTAACAAACCAATAAAGAAAAATTCATATGACAGGCAAAAATGCAAGGAACTTTGATTGTAAATAGTCTAGGAAACCTGATTTAATTTTGATTCTGTACTTAAATGGATATTTTTGAAGTCAGAACAAACCTGAGAATGATCCTTTAACATATGAGTTTGATAATCAGAAAATTCATTGCACTCAAAATTACAAGTTTTGCAGGGATACATCTTCCTTCCAGCATGTTTCTTCGTTTTCAAAATATGTTTTCGCAAATTTTCTTGATTGTTGCACACATATGAACAATACGGACAACTATAAGGTTTCAAACCTGTATGAGTTCTTTTATGCCTTAGCAAGGAATTACTCACAGCAAATGAAAGATCACAGTAAGGGCAGTTGAATGGTTTTTCACCAGTATGATATCTTTTGTGTTTAGTCATACCATGAAATGTTTTGCACACATAACCACAAGTTTCACACAAATATGTTTTTTCTGTGTCACTAGCTTTAACTGAGTCATTTTTCTTATGAAGTTTCAAATGATTTTTAAACAAAACTGTATTTTTATATTCTGTTTCACACTTAAAACAGAAATGCACTTTTACTTTTGGCTTAAATTTTTTTGCATTTACAGATTTCTTCTTTGTGTTTAAATAACTAAATTTCTTAAGAAAACCATTCTTCACGGAATCTACTGAAACAATTTCTTGATTTTCTATAGTTTTATCAGAACAGTTTATGAACAAGTTATCAACACTTTTCGTTAGTTTCTTTTGTCTACACAGAGATTTAAACAGTTTAAAATGCGAATTTAATAAGCCTCGTTTAATACCGTAAGCACAGTGGATAACTACCCCCAATTTAGTAGACATGACTAAGTCAGTATTATTGATCGAATTGTTATTGTTGTTTGAAGCTGAGAGGATGCAAGCTTTGACTAGAGCAAGACAGTGGCAACAATGAATATTTCTTTTCTTTTCCATCACTATTATTGGATGTATAAACTCTTCTGAAGATAGATGATTTTTAGAAAAATGATTTATCATATCATCACTAGAAGAAAACTCATCTCTACAAGGTAAACATATTAAGGGATTTTTAAGTTTTGCCCCTTTTTGACAGTGGATTTTATTTTTTAAATGTTCAAGAAAAGCAATTCTATCATTTGAATAAAAAGAACATAGGTTGCATGTAAATAAAACATTTTTAATGAAATGAAGTTCATTTCTAAAAACTTCTTTTAACCACTTCTCTTCATTCGATTCTTTATACTCACACAAAAGTAAATGGTTCAAAAAAGTTGATATAAAATCAGATTTGAAATTACATAAAGAACAAACCAATTGATTTTTATCAGGAGTACAACATTCAATATTAGAACTCGTAGAATTAGCTTGGCGCTCTGAAACTCGCTGTTTGAAAGACAAAACAATGGCTGAGGAAGGAGTTGCAGCTTGTTTATCGGTTTCAGAGCTATTATCTGTCCCACATGTCAAAGTGCTGGATGGAATAATACCAATTTCACAGTTAGATTTAGAGTTAGATACATCATTGATGTCACATAATACATTCTCGTCGATTGAAAATGCATTATTTGAAGTTTTAAATACAGATTCTAACTTATCAGATGATAATAACAATCTATCTATATTCATACAAGAGGTATCGGAAATTATTGTTTCAGGTAAAATCTCCTTATCATACGTAAATGTAGCATCTAAATCATTATCTAAAGAGGTAAAACCAAGTTTGGAACAAAAATTATCACTAACATTGCTTAATGCTCTTTGATTTGTACTTCCTGTGTTAGCAATGCTTTGTAAATTTAAGGAAAGGAAGAAATCATCAGCAGAGAGTTTGTAAATTTCTGATGTAGTAAAGGAAGGTTCTTGCAATTCTTTAACACTTGAATCAACAGATGTTAAAATATCTGAGCCCTGAGACAGAAGAGGAGATGATACTGGTTGATTGATCTTAAAGCATCCTTGTTGCCGATGTGAAACGTAATTATTGAGGCCTATGATTGTTTGACCACATCGCAAACATAAATGATTGTCATCACCTTGCTCCATTAGATCTAAATAAGAAAAAAAAATTTCATAAAATCAAAAATAAAAATATGCAGCGTTTACAGGCATTAAAATGAATGATAAATTACAATTCTAGTTCTTCTATGTAGGCAGATCAAAAAATATTTCTTTACATTTGAGCAGAGGAATATTGTGGTCACTTAAAATTTTAAAACATCTTGTACCAAACAAATGTGATATTTCTAACAGTGTAAACAGCTTCAGCCAAAGAAATTTTTTTATATAAACATTTAACTTTTTCACAAAATAAAACACATGGGAATGCAAACAACATATGAATTCAAGGAAAGCAGCAAATAACTTAAGAGTTTAAAAATTAATCATAACACAAATGCAAAGCTTAATCGGAACTACTGGGTGACTTTGAAATGAAACAGATAAATTTTTGAATGTGTATGTCCTGGGTAAATTAAAAAGCAAGCTGTTTACTAATATTGCTAGCATTTTGCAATTCACCAGGCTAACTAAGAAAATCTTCAGTAATTTTTAATGATCATAATATTTTTATGCTCATTCTATGCCATTAGGAAATGCTTTAAGAATTATTCAGCCAGATAGAATTTTTTTAGGCTTAATGCAAAGAGTCTTTAACAAAGCTTTTTACAATAAGCATTCACTACTTTGGTTTTTATTGTCAACTGCCTAAAATAATTTAGGCAAATTAAGCAACGAATAAATTTTCTAATTAGATTAAGGTATAAAGGCTCAGTGCAATAAATCTAAAAACTGTCAGGCTGATTAAAAAATACTGAGGATTTTCCGATTGGACTGGTGCATTGCAAAATAATTGCTGTCGCTTGCAAAGAGTTGATCGTTATTTAATTAGTGTCTGACATATATATCAATATGACATATATTCAATCTTTTTATACACAAATTCTAATGAAAAGATGAACAGTATTGAGGTTGGTAATACAAACAATATTCACAATTTTTTTCTTTTGCACAATCAAGTCATTCCCCATAAACGTTATCATTTTGTGAACCGCTATGACTTAATTCATTCTGACTAGTTGAGTCAGTCATAGAATGTAATAAAAGAGACTGGAAGTATTTACCTCCATGGTTGCAATTTTTTAAAATTCTATTCAATAAAGATTGAGTTATCTTTTAAAAATTTCAAGTTAATGGGAGAACAAATTGATTAATCCAGAATATATAACATTAAAAATAAAAGAACAAGGCCTCATAAAAAATTTAATCACTGCATTTTTCATTCATACCAAATTGGACCATATAATTTCATTTGTAAATATGAATAAACCCTATCAGCAAAATAACTTGGGCCCTCATTTTGCCAATATTCATGAGTCTTGGCTCAATAAGGGTTTAACGGGCTGTTATATAGAGTTGTCCGATTCACCATATATTTTACAGTCACTTTACAACCAATATTAGCCCTATATAAAATTAACAGTATAACCTGATATTTTATGTTTATTATTCAGCCAATATAGGTCCTCTATTGATCTTATATAAGACTAATATTGAAAAATCTAGACATCCCAATTTTGGTCCCTCAGTGCATGTTCATATAGGATACATATTCAGCCAATTTTGAGCTCAACTGGGACCAAGGTAAAATTGTTGCTTGGGAAGAAAAAACTAAAATGTCATAAGTATGTAGTTACTTTGGGTATAATATATAGAGAGATATTTACAAGTGGTTCTATACTATATTTGCTATTGACCCACTACGTCATAATGAATTACACTCAATTTAAATTTACTTTAATGTATACTACTATTCTTAACAGACTTCACATTTTAAGTTTTCTCTCTTGTGGTAGATTTCCTTTTATTCCTTGTGTACCACTTCCGTTTTTTTTTTTTTTTTTTTTTTAAATTTTTTCTGAACAAAAAATGACAAAGTTGCAACCGTCTTGATGCAAGATGACCCCTTGAATAATTATCACACAAAAAAAGTTAAAGAAATATTCTTATATTGGCATCTGTTTATGTCAACTGAATAAAGTTATCTTTAAAACTCTCAATAAATATAAACAAAAATAAATAAAAGCGTGCTCAAAGGGAACAACATATCATTTTGGAGATAAGGAATACTTAATAACAACAAAAACACTACAGCGCACAATAATAAAAAATATTTAAGAAAACAACAAAACACAAACACAATTTTATTTTGTATAACTTCTATTAATCAAAATAAATCAACTGAGGAATGTCATAAATTAATAAATAGATATAAATTTTTTTATATTTCATTTCTCGCACGTGTAGTTTAGAAAGATTTCAATATCTAGATCAGCATCAAAAATGCTGTCAAGTTTCAGAGACAATCAAACAGTGGCAAATAATATTTACAGATGGGGAAAACTTGAAAGGTATTAGCTGTTTATTAGCTTATAACGGGATCTGCTTTAAATTTATTGTATAGACATGAACTGGGCAGTAGCACTTTGGCAACAGGTATATTCTTAAAAATGCAATACTTTGCTTACTCACAAACAAATTATCTTCTAACAAACAAAAACAACATATGAAAAACTAAAATGTTTATAGCGATATTTTAAGTAACACCAAAATTAGGCAACATATAAATGATACATAATAAACATTATTTTTGAAACTACAAGAGAATATAATTAAATCAATACCACTTTTTTAAAAGCTCAGGTTTAACGAACAGACGTGTTTTTAGTTTCTTTTTTTCATAAGAAATTTGCGAAAAGCAACCACAAAATGATCATGGTAGAAGGTAATTTCAGTAATAAAATGAACTAATATACAGAATTTGAAAAGCATTTTCTCGCATTTCCCCCAAAAGATGTTAGAAAATCAATAATGACTTATGCTTTTCAGTCTTCGATGCACAAACAACTTTGGCTGCGCGAAATTGATCAATTGATAATTCACGAATAAAGCCAAACTACTTCTCTTGCAGTTACACGCAAAATAATACTTACGCTTTAATTGCACCTACCAGTTACCACTTTTTCAGAAATTGTTACATAATCGTCCCGTCAACGAGCAACGCTTCTGCTCTAACTGGTTGGTAACGTTTTTTCAGAAGATTGCAATATGAGGGACATTCACACTGGATGAAAAAAATATCATGTATGCGAAGTTGAAAAATTAAATTACAACATAATTAGCGAGTTTTTTTTGGGGGGGAATACATCTCGTCCGTAAAATTCTCTGTCGCATCTCCGAATTCGTATACGTGAACTTTCAACATCCAATGTCCCGTAGACTTTGCTTAGCTTAATTAGATAAGTAACTTTTGATCTGAATAAAATATTCATAATACTTGTGTGTGTACCACTGATGTAGAATGTTTATACCTTTGAGAAAGTAACCGACTTAAATACTTTGGGATAATTGTGACTAAATGAAATTAAAGTTGACATTGATCACCGATTGGTAAATAAATGCTACTCTGGTTGATGTTGTTGTTGTTGTTGTTCATTTATTACGTTGCACTAGAGCTGTACAATGGGCTATTGGCGACGGTCTGGGAAACATCCCTGAGGATGATCCGAAGACATGCCATCGCAATTTTGATCCTCTGCAGAGGGGATGGCACCCCCGCTTCGGTAGCCCGACGACCTGCACGCGAAGTCGAGCACTTTACGGTAGAACAGTTTAACGAGGGTCCATACCGCACACCCTCGGTCCCTACGCAGGCTGATCCTAATGGTCACCCACCCGCACACTGACAGTAGCCAGTGATGCTTGACTTCGGTGATCTGCTGGGAACCATGTCTTAACGATCAGTCCACTGCGGGACGCTACTCTGGTTGAAGAAACTAATTAATAAGATCACGATTCATTAGCAACAGAACAAAAATTAGTATGTATAAAACACTAATCCGATCAGTAGTCCTCTACATCAGCGAAAGTTGGGCATCAAGTAAACCTAGCCAATCCAAAACAGGCAAATAATTTTTTAATTAAAAATTCTATGTAAAATTTTGGGAGCTTTAATAAAAATAACATCAAGAGAATTTACTAAAATCATGAAATATATAATCGATGCAACAACCAGACATAATCATCAAATCGAACCGAATAAGGTATCTCGGTAACTTATTTTGATCAGAGGCTTACTACCCCACAAAGATATTAACTTTCAATGAGCCACAAGACCTTTACTCAGTGGCTTGATGGCATTGAAAAACTTAAAAACATTGCAAATAACTAATTTGAAAAAACAGGCATCTAACAGACTTCGTTGGAAGAAACTCGTTGGAACGACTGATGCCTGTTCTGGGCTGTAGTACCAAGAAATAATTACGTATATATTTTGAATGATAAGTTTTTAATACAATAAAAGAAGAAAATATCTTATTGTAAATTTCTTTCGCTATAAGTAATTAATAAATCTATACAAAATATATATATAAAATTTATAATAAATTAAAATTTTTATGTTTATGTATACTTTATTGTGATACTTTTATGTATTTCTTTTATGTAGAAAATTAAATTTTTTGAACCAGTCGTTAAAAAACTAAATTTTATTGTTTAGTTTGATTATTTCGCTAAAAATTATATAAAATTTATTTTCACTTTTGTGTTGTATTTTCTCTCCTCTAAAACACGCCTAATAATGCGTAGAAAATAAGAAACGAAAGAGTATTAGACCACTTAGATCATGAGCTCTAAATCGGGAAGAAATTTCTCACTTTCAAAGAAAGATTAAGGCCAGTTATATACGTTAAACAGAAACTGAATAATAGCATTCAAACAAATCTGGGATCATAACGGACGGCACACTGCAACAGAACTTTGGCACTCTCAGAGCTACAGCTATAAATTTAAAGTGAAGGTAAAGATGTGTGTGGACACTTGCTTGTGCACCTTGAGAGATTTTTAAACTTCTGCTAAGAATTTCTTATAGAGATCTTTGAATTTTAAAATTTTTCCATGAGATGAATGGTGGACCATTCTTGTTATTTTAATTGCTAAAAATGACTATTTTTTTATATAATTTTATTTAGAATGGTGATATGTAATGCTTTAATTGCTTAATAATTACTATAACGGGATTGAATTTTTATATTGAATACTTAATTTTTTATCTACTTTTTAAGAATCTCACACCGTCTAACACAGAAAGTATTCAGCTTGTCCCTCTTTACCATCCTGTCTCTCGCCTTGTGCTTTGTATCCTTTAATCCAGTTAATCGTATCATCTATAAAAGTTTTCGCTAATATGTCTCTGCCGTGTCATTCTGGGTCAACTTCTTTACTTTTTGCCTTTAGGATCTTAAATGAGAGAAACATATGCATATGATATAGTCTCTCAACGTTTATTCAAGGAATAACCAATTTCTTCAAGAAATAGCCATCTACATATTTCCTCCTGAATAATTGGCACTTTGGCTCTTTCCAGTAGGTTTTCATTTCTGATTTTATATGGAGGAAATATCTTAACGATAGTTGTCAAACACATCAAACAGTTGTGGCCATGCTTCCATTTTTAAGGGCTCTATCTTTTTATGGCCATGATAGGAATGTCATGTAATTTTGGCTCCGGAGAAATGACGTGGGCAGTAGTTTGAACCAGTACCTCAATTTCCAAACTTCCACACTGTAACCAACGAGAGGACTGTAAGCTTCTAACTCTTGTGGATCTTACTGCGTACAGACTCTGGTTCTTAAGTCGGCTGCCAGGATCCTCAGCTTTCCATCAGAGGAGAGAGGACGATGTAACAGACTGCACTATTTCAGCGTTCGTTTTTTTCTAATATCTATTATGAAACTCTGGTTTATCAATGTCGGGTTTTTTCAGATAAGGTGATAGAGCGTTCACCTCCCAATGAGGGAATCATGTTCGAATCCCAGCTAGGGCTGGTTGATACGAATTTTGCTCCCAGCTCGCACTCAGTGGTAGACGGATCATTGGGTTAGAATCCTCTTGCCGTCGGGCTACCCGAGGAAGGTTTTCTTGGTTTTCCACTCCATGTTACACGAATGAGAGTTTATTCCATCTTTAAGTCATCCACGAAGGCTATTTTGTTCCAATACTTGATCCAGAAGTTCTCTGGTTTTCTNACATCGATATAGTATATCAGTTCCGTTTTGTCCCTTTTTTCACGTCATTTTTTTTTTCCGTAATGAATATTATTTATACTTTCTCGGAAAAGATTCTAACGACGATGCTCATTACGGAACTCACTGTGTATTGGTAGATGCTGATTCTGCTTTCTCATAAAATGTTTCTCTTCCTTGTAATGTGTATTTTAACGGAGTTTTAATTTTATTAGAAACGATTCCAACGAGGATGATCATTGCGTAATACATTGTTTAGTGATTGATACTGATTCCGCTTTTTACCACCGTATTTGATTGAAAACGATTCCAACGACGATGCTCATTTCGGAACGCACTGTATAGGGATTAATCCTGATTCCGTTTCTTACTGCTGTTTGCCATAATATGTTTTCCTTTCCAGTAAAGAGTGCTTTTTTTAATTTTATTGGAAAAGATTCCGACGAGGATGCTCAATACGGAATACACTATATAGTGATTGATATTGATTCGGACACTGTTTTCGTAAAATGTTTTTCTTTCCCACTATGAACATTGTTTTTTATTTTCACGGAAATGATTTCAACGAGGATGCTCATTTCGGAACACACTGTATAGTGATTGATACGAATTTGAATTTTTTTTTCATCACTGTTTCCCGTGATATGTTTTTCTTTCTCGTAACGTGCATCGTTTTTTTTTTATTTTATTAGAAACGATTCCATCAAGGAAGCTCATTACGGAAAGCACTGTATAGTGATTGATCCTGATTCCGTTTTCACCACTGTTTTCGTAAAATGTTTTTCTTTCCCGTAATAAACATTGTTTTTTAGTTTTCATTTTAACGGAAACGATTCCAACGAGGATACTCATTTCGGAACACACTGTATAGTGATTGATACGAATGCCAATTTTTTTTATCACTCGTTCCCGTGATATGTTTTTCTTTCACGTAGTGTGTATTTTTTATTTTAATAGAAACGATTCCAACAAGGATATTCATTACGGAACTCACTGTATAGTGATTGATTCTGATTCCGTTTTTACCACTGTTTTCGTAAAATGTTTTTCTTTCCCGTAATGAACATTGTTTTTTATTTTCGATTTTAACGGAAATGATTCCAACGAGGATGCTCATTTCTGAACACACTGTATAGTGATTGATACGAATTCCAATTTTTTTATCACTGTTTCCGTAAAATGTTTTTCTTTCCCATATTGTGTATTGTTTTTATTTTATTGAAAACGATTCCAACGAGGATGCTCATTTCGGAACACACTGTATAGTGATTAATATTGATTCCGTTTTTTACCACTGTCTCCGTAAAATGTTTTTTTTTTCTCGTAATGTGAAATCGTTTTTTTGTTCTTAAAATTTTATTAGAAACGATTCCAACGAGGATGCTCATTTCGGAACACACTGTATAGTGATTGATATTGATTCCGTTTTCACCACTGTTTTCGCAAAATGTTTTTCTTTCCCGTAATGAACATTGTTTTTTATTTTCTATTTTAACGGAAATGATTCCAACGAGGATGCTCATTTCTGAACACACTGTATAGTGATAGATACGAATTCCAATTTTTTTTATCACTGTTTCCGTAAAATGTTTTTCTTTCCCGTATTGTGTATTGTTTTTATTTTATTGAAAACGATTCCAATGAGGATGCTCATTTCGGAACACACTGTATAGTGATTGATATTGATTCCGTTTTTTACCATTGTTTCCGTAAAATGTTTTTCTTTCCCATAATGAACATTGTTTTTAATTTTAACGGAAATGATTCCAACGAGGATGTTCATTTCTGAACACACTGCATAGTGATTGATACGAATTCCAATTTTTTTTAAATCACTGTTTCCTGTGTTATGTTTTTCTTTCTCGTAATGT